TATTAAGAGTCTATATTATTGTTGGAATCTTTCTTTTTATTATATTATTATTATGTGAAATGAGCTCTGCCATTTTTTCTTCCTATTATGATATTTGGGGTCGGAATCAAGAATCCTATATTTTTTAAATTCATAGAATTGACTTAACTGAATTTCTAAAATTCCGTATTGATGGAGCTATTTTAGAAACATATTTATTTACCCTAAATTTTCTTAAATAAAACTTAGTATTATTATTGAACAAAATTGGGTAAAAACATTAACTTTAAATAATTAAATTTAAATTTATAGAAATACATGGAATAATACAATAAAAATACTATTAAATAAGATACGTATCCTATACCAAGATGTTAGAAGCTTTAATTCTCATACCGGCACATTTAAGTTAAAAAAAATTAAATAAAAGTGTAAAAAAAATTCCTGTAATATAATTATTTAATCTCATTTTTTAATTACATTTTACCAAAAAATTTAACATAAAAATATAATAACATAAAGTTCATAAATTTTAGAATTTTTTTTCTCTTTTATATACTTCTAAAAAAATATATTTGAATTCCAACTTTTATAAATGAAAAATAATACTAAATAATTGAAGATAGTTATTATTTATCATCAAAATATAATAACATTAAGTTCATAAATTTTAGATTTTTTTTTCTTTTATATACTTTTAAAATATATTTTTTAATTCTAACTTTTATAAATGAAAAACAATACTAACTGATCAGAAGATAATTATTATTTTTTTATTTTAGAGACTAATAAAAACATTTTGGGAAATTATGGTTTTTTTTTTCTTTTTTAAGTTTACAACCATTTATTGGTAAATCTATATAAATAATTTAATTAGTTTGGCAGGGTAGTTAGACTTAGGTCTAAGCTTATAAGTATTATTATTATTATTATTATTATTATTATTATTATTATTATTATGTTTTAGGGCAAATATAAGTGGGCTACTCACTGATTTATAATTTATAATTTCTGTGGATAAAGGCAGCAAAAATAAAATAGGAAAATGCGAGATAGCGAAGTGGATATATACCAGTTTTAAAAATATTTTAAACATTTTAACTTTATATCTTTTTAAAATGAAACCAGATATTTACAAATTTCTTCTTACTGTGGGCCGTTTACTGGACCAGGATTGCCCAATGAGAAGTTATTGGGCCCATGAAAATTAACCCTCTTATTGGGCCTGTCGACCCACCACGTGTCCATCCTTTTCATCGATTTTGCCACGTCAAACAATACCAAAGCAACGACAACAAGGAATTTGAGTCCATTTTCCTTCTTGGTGCGCAGAGTACTTATTTTACCCGTAATTTATTTTAGGTATATTTTACCTAATCTCTAATTTTTCTATAAAAATTAGTTGACTATTTTTAATATTGTAAAACATTATTAATTACAAATGTTGAGTTTTATTTTATTAGTATAATATATCTTCAATTTTTTTTCCATTAATCAAGTTAATTCGTAGATATTTAGATATTTGTATCTTTTTAAGTTTATTCAAATTAAAGTTTTCAGGTCAAGATTTTTTTTTCAAAAGCTATCACAAACTTGTATTAACTTTTGGAAGAAAAAACCAAAGAAGAAAAGTAACGATGTTCATCATTTTCTATACATTTTCACATGTAAATAATAATCTACATTTCTAATAAACCATAAAAATATATGTATAGTAAAATAAGAGTAAATAAATGAATAGATACACATCTAAATAAGAGTCATTTAATGATAAAATGATTAAGAAAGACTTAAAAGAATTGAAGGATATTACTCGTACTAACAAAGAACATTTTTTTTCAATGGCTCATTGGTAGAAACTTACCGGTTAAATGTGCTTTTATTTGGAGCAATTTTATAATGAACTCATGTGATGCATGTGAGTGAGGACAAAGTATACCGAAGTGACTCGTGTTGGTCTTCGGAAATAGTATTCACTCTCAGAAGCGAGAAGTTAGTAAATTTAACCATGTCATAGGAGATGGAACGAATTCAAATTCTAAATTATGGGCATGGATCGTTACAAAATATTTTTATTATTCTTTTCTATTTCCAACATCTTTGAAGTTTAACGATGTATTGAAGATTAAAATATTTGATATTTTACTCGATGACATTTATATTAAATGACACGAATATTATTTTGTTAAATTCAATTTCTATTTTTTTAGCTAAATAATAATATTTTAACCGGTTGATTTATAAAAAAATAGTGGGACAACCTGAATTAATATGCATGACCTTGTTAATACAGAACAATGAACACAATTTAGTCATAAGTGTTGACTTTTGCACAAAATTTTGACGGCTTCAATGTTTGAATTTTTATGAGTCAAACGATTCTAACCTCTTTTTCATTTATAGATTTATAGAGATTTAAATGAGGCACAATCTTTTTGGTGTTCAAACACCATTAATTAAATATTTCTATTTTTCTTTTCATATTTAATAATAATCTTTGACTTATTAATACTTTAAATTCATTTGAAAACCTCTAATTAAATTTTTATGGAAATCAAAAGAAAATTAAACAATAATCATGTTACTATATTTTAAATTGATAAATCATTAACAATTCACTTAAAAAGAAATGAAATCGATTAAGATCATAATATTCATGAAAATGACATAATTTTTGTTTTTTATTTTTTTAATTTGATGATAATATTTTCATCTCTTTCATATGTAATTGGGTGAAGGAGGTTCCGAGGCAAATAAAAAGAAAAAATATTAAAAAAGTGTCACAATCTATGACTCCAATTCCACGTATGGTTGCTTTTGACTTTAAATATCTAATATATGTTATTGAAAAAAGATACATCCTATATGAATATGTCACACTCATGTCCAGCTGGGAACTTCACATTTTTTTCACCATCAAAATGAATTCATATCAAGAAATATATGTTCATATTTTTCTTCGTTGAATTAAAAAAAATTAGATTCGGTTCAAATTTTATATCTATAAAATGATCTAATTTGAAACATAATCAAAAAAATTATGAAGTCGTCTTGCAGTTCTACTTCGATTCAAGTAGTAGGATGAGACGAATTAAGATTTACAAATAAGGAAATTGCAAACCAGTATGGTGTTAGCTTAACATACTGTGCTACCTAAGAAAAATAGCCGGAGTTGCGTGAGAATCCTTCCTCAAAATTATTGTATTCATTTGACTTTGTCAATTAATATACTTTTTTTAATGTACAATAAAGTTGAGTTTAATCCTATAGTTTTAAAAATCTTAATTTTACTCTTTGAGGTTTAAGAGAATAAAATTATTAGTACAGAGTAATCTATTTTATTTTTTAAAAATATATTGTAACCGTTTAAATTCATCCGTCATTAGATATTGTCCACTTTGGTTCGTTACGTATTGTTGTTAGTCTTACTGTTTTAAAATGTGTCTATTAGAAAGAGATTTCTAATCTACTCTGGTCGGGGGGTCAAACATTCTTGTTGGAACATTGTTGATGTTTGACTTTGATACCATTTGTAACCGTTCAAGTTTATCGCTAATAGATATTGTCGTCTTTGAACTTTTTCTTTCGAATTTAAATTTCTATATCATTATAAGAAATGATTCGTTTCTCATTTTAACCAACGAGCAGAGATAATTTAAATTGAAATACAATATAATTCACTGAAAAGAAACTTTATTTGGGAATTGAAAATTCAAAAGTCCACGTGAGACAATTGCCGTTTCTTGTATGACACGTAAAATAATAAATAGGAGGTCTTTCCTTTAAAAATTTTCTAATATTTTAAATAAATTAGAAAAATTGAAACAAAATTCAATGCTTGCTGCTCTTTTCATATTATATTACATAATTAAGCTGTATTTGTCTTTTCTGTTTGTTCATTTGGAATTTTTTTTTTTTTTCATTGCTAATTTTTCTTACAAACACAACATCCAGATCCATCAACAATCTTGACGAAATTTATTGAATTATTTTAAATAACTAAAAAAATAAATTTCTTCCCATTATTTATAAAAAAAAATAAAAATAAAAACTTTTTTTTATTCCAATACGTCCCTTAATTCTCAGAATTTATATTTTTGTATCTGAACTTTTGAAATAATTATTTTAACCAAAAAAATTTCAAAATATCTGCTTAATGGCCTTTCTTTTTAAAAAATATCGCTTTTTTTTTCTCTGTCGCTACCTCCTTATAATATCTATTATGCCTAACTTATGAAACTTCCCACCCACGTGTTTGCTGTTATTTATTTATATATATATATATATATATATATATTTTGGTCTCTAAGCCTTTTTCTAGTTCATGCTTTGCTCCGGAACTTGAACCTGAACTACTGAACCAGGAACCGTAAGAAAAGAAGAAGAAATCTGAACCTCTACTTCGCGCCTTCCTGAACTATACTATTCTTTCATAAGGTAAAGCTCAATCACCTATTGATTCTTGAACGAGGTCTCTTCTCTTTGCTTAATCACCTTCAAACACTATGTCTTCATCTGCGCTCCTCTCCCTTCAAACACTGGACTTTAATGGCACAAAGAATATCTATATGATATGGTCCAATAAGCTCTAGTGACTTTATTTTTTTGTTTTTCATAAAATACTTTTCTTTAAGAACTTTGTTTTGTGAGTGTTGCCCTGTTCCCCAAACAGATGTTTGGGTATGAGCTATATTTTGCGAGGAGCCAAAATTTGACCTCTCTTCCTATGTGACTCAAAATGCTCAGCGACAACCTCTCAATTGTCACCATCTGGCCTCTCTTGCTACCCTACGCTAGACTCCAGTGTAGTTATTCCTTATTATATACCTATAATCTTCTTCTTAATTAGTTAAGTGAGACGGCTCCTCTCAATAATTTTTTTACCATGAAATTAAAATTTAATGAATACGATTGTCAGTAATTATTTTAAAAGTTATCCTAGTCAAAGTAAGGCAAAGACTTGAAATGTGTTCATTTTATTCTTTTTTTTAAGAATTAAAGAAAAAAAAAGTTAGAAAATTGAAAATGCAATTTAAGCTAAGAAAGTGGATTGGATTAGAGGTAAAAAGAGAGTCGGTGTCGTACAGGGTTTTGAAGCCTAATAGTTGACCATCTAACCGTGTGCTTCCTCTGTTTCTTCTCTGCTCCCTCCAATGGCCGCTCTGAAACTCCCAATTCTTCTCCTCTCTTTCCCCCTTCTTTTCTGCTCCATATCCGCCCTTGATTTCGTCTTCAACGGCTTCAATTCCACCGATGTCTTCCTCTACGGCAACGCCATCATTGAATCCCGTATCCTCGCCCTCACCAACCAAACCAGTTTCTCAATCGGTCGCGCTCTGTACCCTTCCAAGATCCCCACTAGGGCACCCAATTCCTCCCGCCTCTACTCCTTCTCCACTTCTTTCATCTTCGCCATGGCCCCTTACAGGGATACCCTTCCTGGACATGGCTTGGTTTTCATTTTTGTTCGGGAGACTGGGATCCACGGAACTTCCTCCGCTCAGAATTTGGGGTTTTTGAACTTCACCCTTAATGGGAACCCTAATAACCATGTCTTTGGAATTGAATTCGATGTGTTTGATAATGAGGAATTCAATGACCCCGACGACAATCATGTGGGGATCGACTTGAATTCCTTGACGTCTACCGCTACCGAAGAAGCTGGGTTTTGGTCCGACGATGGCTCGTTTAATAGGTTCCGACTTAATAGCGGAGAAAATTATCAAGTCTGGATTGATTATTCCGATTTTCAGATGAATGTTACGATGGCTCCGGCGGGGATGAAGAGGCCACGGCGGCCGTTGATTAACGCCTCTCTGAATCTCTCCCATATTTTCACCGACGAAATGTATGTGGGGTTTACGAGCTCTACAGGGCAGTTGGTTCAAGGCCACAACATTTTAGCCTGGAGTTTCAGTAACTCTAATTTTTCGTTGAGCGAGAGTTTGATTACCGCTGGATTGCCTTCCTTCGTCCTCCCAAAAGACCCGATTACTAAATCGAAGTGGTTCATCGCCGGAGTGACGGCCGGCGGATTCCTATTCGTTTTCTTCATAGCTACGATTTTGGGGATTTTTATTGCAGACCACCGGAGGAGAGCGAGGGCAAGAGCGGAAATGGAAGACTGGGAATTGGAGTATTGGCCACACCGAATTACATATCAAGAAATCGAATCGGCAACCAAAGGGTTTGCAGAAGAAAATGTCATCGGAATCGGAGGGAATGGAAAGGTGCATAAAGGGGTTTTGACTGGAGGTGGTTCGGAAGTTGCAGTGAAACGAATTTCTCACGAAAACGACGGGATGCGAGAGTTCTTAGCTGAAATATCGAGTATAGGGAGATTGAAACACAGAAATCTAGTCAGTTTGAGAGGTTGGTGTAAGAAAGAGACAGGGAATTTCTTACTCATCTACGATTACATGGAAAATGGAAGTTTAGACAAATGGGTATTTGATTGCGACGAAAGAAACATGTTGAGGTTCGAGGATCGAATTCGAGTATTGAAAAACGTAGCTTCAGGGGTCTTGTATTTACACGAAGGATGGGAATCAAAGGTCCTCCATAGGGACATAAAAGCTAGCAATGTGTTGCTGGACAAAGACATGAATGGAAGACTAGGAGATTTTGGTTTGGCTCGAGTCCATAGCCACAACCAAGTAGCTAGCACGACTCGAATCGTTGGCACCATGGGCTACATCGCGCCGGAGTTGATTCGAACGGGACGAGCCTCGACTGAAACAGACGTGTTTGGTTTTGGTGTTTTGATTTTGGAAGTGATGTGTGGGAGGAGACCAATAGAGGAAGGGAAGCCAGCATTAGTGGATTGGGTTCGACGATTGGCGGCTGAAGGGGAGATCACAGCAGCAGTCGACGAGCGACTGAGGAAGAAGGGCGGGTGGAACGAGGAGGAAGTCGAGAGAGTGTTACATTTGGGATTGTTATGTGTACATCCCGACCCGAAAACTCGACCGAAGATGAGGCAAATTGTGAAAATTTTGGAAGGAAAAATAGAGATGGATGAGAATGAGAGTGAGAGCATGAATGCTTATTTGCTTGAAAGATTGAAGTCGCAAGGAACGTGGTGTGATTCTAGCGTTGGTTTTGGGCATAAACATCCAACGTTTGAGGATTTTCTTCAGTCTTCTTCAACCTCCATGTCTTGGTCCGATTCCATTGTAGTGGGCAGGTGAGGAAGCCATCGGCCTTGGAAACTCATTGTAATGGATTATTGCTTTTTATAGCGTACATAAACAAACTACTTTTAAACACTCTTTTGGGCTTTCGGCCCGTTTGTAAGATTCCACAGTGGCCCACCTATGCCCATAATCATGGATATGGGCCTTACGAGGCCCAAATTATGGACGATGGATTTGAATATCTTCCGAGTCCGTTCATCACCATAACATATAACCACTCGGTCTTCCATTTTAATTTTAACTTTGAATTTTCTGAAGATTTTTAAAACATGTAATTGTAATTAGTAAGATGTTTCTACACCCTTTTCCCTCTCCAACCGATCCGATCTTACAATTCATCTCTCTTTCGGGCCCAATTTCTTTGCTAACATTCATTCATTTCTCCAGTTGATGTGGGATCTCACTATCTCTCCCTTCAAGGCCCAGCGTCCATCGCTTTCATACCGCCCAGTGTCCACCCCTCTTTCAGGGCACAACGTCCTCGCTCCTGCACACCACCCAGTGTTCACCCCCTCGGATCTAACATTTTTGCTGGAGCTCAAACCCACTATTCGCAGATATTGTCCTCTTTAGTTTTCTCCTCAAAGTTTTTATAATACGTCTACAAGAGAAAGGTTTTTAGGTCCATTCTCTTCTCCAACCGATATGAGATTTCACAATTTATGTAACATACATTTTAATAGTAAATCAAGTATATCATTCATCGATCTCATTGGTCTATCAAAATTCATTTTACTTCTCGTTCATGTATCAACTCAATTAAACACGCAACCTCTTAAATAATGTAACTGGCTTTATATTTTAGGAGAGAAAGATAAAGTAATAAAAATAAAAGAAAAGAAAAACCCAAATATTTCACAATTTTAGGTTTTTAAAATTTATAAAAATAAACACAAACGCAGTAATAAGACAAATTACATTTAATTTATGTCCAGATTAGAAAAGAAATTGAGCATAAATCCCGGGAAAATGTTTTAACAAAAGCTTGCAAAAACCAAAGTTTCATGCTAACAATGACCCATTATTTAATAGAATTTTATCAATTTTAACTTCATTTATTTAACATATCTAAATTAAATTAATAATTATGGTTAAACTACGAGTATGGAATAAAATAAAGTTATTAATTTAATGAAGCAAACATAACACATGCAAAAATAAAATATAAAAAAGAGAATAAAAACAGAGGCCACATGAAATTTTTGGGCGGCCTGTACCAATATTAGCCACAATTAGACGATGGAGTTCATAGGTAAACGTTGTTTTCATAATTATTAATATCAATATTGGATCACCATCCCCTTAGGTTTCTAAAACCGTCTGCACCAATTTCATAATTTATGGTTAATATTATTGATTTCTTTTATTACTCTTTTAATTTATTTGAGTATTTAAAATAAAAAATAAACAACTTATTTATATCCAATTAGTGTTTTGAAATAATAAAATAACATTTAATCGATTAAATATAAAATTCACATCAATCACCAATTTCCAGTCGGTTCTCCACAAACTTCTAAAAGCTTCGGGGATAAGAGAAGAAGGTTCGAGTGCTTTTCTTGTAGAAGACTTCAGTTTTATACAAACTTTTAATTATATTTATTGACGTTTTTTAATCCTCATTAACACAATAATTAATCACTTTTTAACCACTTTAAAAATCTAACTAATCACTTTCAAACCCATCTTTAATCATTCATGTTCTATGATTATATATATCATTAAATTCAATGATGGGAATAGTCTGTTTTTCTACCGACTTCCAAAAGCTTCCATAATATGTGGAATATTGAATCAAAATTAAGAAAATATTTAAATCTCATTTACCGTTTTAAATATTTATTTTTTTAATTTTATATTGGAATCCATACTCTTTTTAACAGTTTTGGTAATTTTTATTACCTATTTTATAAATGTTCTAAATTGATATATAATTGATAATGTAAGAGATCAGGCGCATAAAATAATCTAAAAACATTATAATTTATACATAAAATCAAATGATTTAAGGATAGAAACATGGGCGTGGGTCCCACGCGCGGGAAACTGCCAAAGAAACGTCAACGGCGGAGGCGAGGAGCCGCGTAATTGCCACGTCGGCTTAAGCAATTTACAAAGATCCCAACTCTCCATTATGGCAAAAAGAAAATGGAAGTACAATGATTAAAATCGGGTGGGGAACAGGTGGGTCCCAGAATTCCATGATCAACGTTGGTGATTTACCCACGTTTAAATCAATCAAACGTCCAAGAATGATGGTCCCACCAGTCCTACCGGATTATGATTTTAGGATAGAATTCGCATCCCATCTGCTGCGTCGCTTTTAATTATTTATGTCATCCCGCTAATTGTTTTTTCACAAAACCTGGCCCCGCCATTCCACAAATATATCCATTTATTTATATATGTATTATTCATTTATTTTAGCACTTTATGATTTGTATTTATTGTTCACAAATAAATTAATATTAATTATAAAACATTTTGGATCTAACAAAATATAAATTAAACAAATTAAGTATATTAACTCGAGTCTTTTTCAATTTTTAATTTTGGCATATTTTATACAAAATTTAAGTTGCCTTTTATTTTGTTATTATTATTTTATTTTTATACCCCACAACTAACTTCTTTTCTTTTTCGATATTTTTAATATACTTTAAATTATAGGGGAAGTATTATAAAAAGTAATAATGATTGGAAATGAAAAAAAAAAAAAAAGAAAAAAAAAAACAAAAAAGAAGGTGCAGTGGTGGATATTCGAGCATATCCGGATTAGGTTGATTAAATGGATCGGCATTATTGCACTGTCCAAACTGACGTGGATCCCCGCTGTCCGGTCTATTAAAGCCCACGAGGGATCAGTATACTAGTTTGTTCGACCATGTTCAATTCGGCCACGCCACATCATCAACGTGGAGCCCAACTGTACGTGGCGTCTCGTTTATCTGCCCGGTTTTACGGTAGACCCGGTTTGATCCGAATAATTTGGTATATAAAGACGGAGTCGTCCAGTTAGTTCTACACAACCCACACCTGTGTGAAAAATCACATAATTATAAAATGGCCCGCCGGAGTTTCCCGAGAACAGAGGTTTCGAGTTTTTCCGACATGGTTTTTGGGTTTTTGGACGACGGAGAGGGGTTAGCGGCGGAGGGATTTGGGAGCAGCTTAGAGAGCCAAGAGAGTGAAGCGACGGCGTTTGATGAAAATGATGAAGAAAAGGAAAATGGCGAGAGCTTGGAAGAAAGCAAGAGCTTTTGGGAGACCCAAAACCAGATCTTACAAGTGAGTATTTTGTTTTTAATTTAATTGAATTAAAAGGAAAACATTTGAGGTTAATTGGTTTGTAACTTTGTACTGTAATGGCAATGCAGGCGACGATATGTCGGACTAATTCTCTGGAATCAAAGATCAGAACTGCCACAAAGGAGGCAGTTAAGGAAATCCAGGGGACGGGAGGAGCCTGTGGATGTGGAAGATCCGTTCTGGAAATGACCGGCTGCCGGAGCTGCCTGCTGAGGGTGATTTCCGGTCACCTTCGAAACGCCGGCTACGATAGTGCCGTTTGCAAGACCAAGTGGAGAAGCTCGCACCATATACCCTCAGGTAAACGAACAAACAGAAACAAATCGAAAAAGAAAATTTATGGAAAATTTTCAAAATTTCTGAAGTTTTTGGGCTTTTTCCATTGAAATTGATTCAGGGGAACACACATTTTTGGATGTGGTGCACAAATCAAAGAAAGGGGAGGTGAGGTACATAATTGAGCTAAACTTGAGAGCAGAGTTTGAAATGGCTCGAGCTAGCGAGGACTACAACCGCCTGGTACGGCGGCTGCCGGAGATCTTCGTGGGAAAAGTGGAGAAACTTCAGGGCGTAATAAAAATAGTGTGCGGCGCTGCGAAAAAGTGCATGAAGGAGAAGAAGATGCATTTGGGACCATGGCGAAAACAGAGATACATGCAAACTAAATGGCTGAGTGCGTGTGAAAGGACCATGTCAATGCCTCTTGTTTCGGTTGGGTACTCGTCTGGTCGGCTTCCGAAGCCCAGAGCTTCGATGCTTACCGTTGATTTGCTCGACAAATTGCCCAATCGGACGGCTGTTGAAGTCGTCTAAATTGTTATAAGATAGATAATATAACGTAGAGTTTCCTTTTTAGTATTGGCCACTGTTCCACTTTTTTTTTTTTTTTAAATGTTTTTCGGCTGTAAACTTTGGTGCTCTGCTGGCATGTGAAAATAAAATTCACAATCCATGACCTATAGAACCTACGAGAAGAAGTATGGATGTATAATTATATTTAGAGTTACGTCATACATGAAATTGTTTTCCAAAATTGCCATAAGGATGAGCGAAACCATTTAAGGTCATGTTATAAATAGTATCAAAGCCAGCCACCATGGTGTGCGAGCGAGAACACTTCTTGATTGAGAACACTGCATGAGCGTTATAAATAGTATCAAAGCCAGCCACCATGGTGTGCCTGTGAGAACAGTGGCCCCCCAAGGGAGGTGGATTGTGAGATCCCACAGTGGCCCCCCAAGGGAGGTGGATTGTGAGATCCCACATCGGTTGAAAAGGAAAATGAAGCATTCCTTACAAGGATGTGGAAACCTCTCCCATCCCTGCAAGGTGGATGGTAAGATCCCACATTGGTTGGAGAGGAAAATAAAGCATTCCTTACAAGGATGTGATCCCTGCAAGGTGGATGGTAAGATCCCACATTGGTTGGAGAGGAAAATAAAGCATTCCTTACAAGGATGTGAAAACTTTTTCCTAGTAGACACGTTTTAAAATGTTACCAAAACAGACCGTATTGACTTAATAGGATGAAAATTTGAAGAGGCAAGAAATTAGAGAGTAAGAAAGCAAGAGAGTTGGATGAGGAGAGGGAAGAGAAATAAAGTGCAAAGGAACAGATAAGTTCACAATTCTGAGGAGAATTCCAAAAATATCGTCAGAAAGGTATTCATTTCAGTCATGTGAATGTTAGAAACAGAAACAATTGAAGGAACCAAAAAAAAACTGCAAAAGTTTTGTTTCTTTTTATCTACAATGAACCTGGGGAGCGAACATAATATCTTCAAGAAAAGGTAAAAGCGCAGAGAGAAAGATTCATATGAATTTAGGTGTGGAGGTGAGAGAATTATGAGAATGAAGAGGACCAACCCTCTGCATCCATCCCATGCTGCTTTAGACCTTTCTTGTGATCTTGCCCAACTGGCCTTCTGCTCTACACTTCACCATCTCCCCCAACACAACTCTCAAGTTGCTCTAATACTTTTACCACCTGCCAAAACTCCGGCCTCTCCTCTGGTTGCGTGGACCAACATTGCTCCATCAACGCCTGCATCACTGGAGGACACTCGCTCGGGATCACCGGTCTAATATTCTGAAACATACAGCCCCAACAGTGTTACAGAACAGATAAGTTGGTAAATAAAAAGATGGTGCTTAACAATAAAAATACCTTATCTACAACTGCAAAAGCTGCTTGGATGGGAGTCATATCCTCATAAGGGATTTTTCCAGCGACTAATTCCCACAGGATGAGTCCGAAGCTGTACATATCAACCTTTCTTCCATAAGGTTTACGTTTGATCATCTCAGGGGCCATCCAACGAAAAGTTCCAGGGTCATCCGCTAGTGTATCACAACGTGCCTCCTCGCAAGCGATGCCGAAATCGGCAATCTTTAGACAAAAGTTTTCATCAATAAGAACGTTTTCAGGTTTGAGATCCCGATGAATGACGCCTTGTGAGTGAATGTATTCCATCCCACGAGCAATGTCCAAGGCAATAGCAAATAGTTTTTGCAATGGGAGAGATTTTTTTTCAAGTTTGTGAAGATATGCCCTTAAGGAACCCAGAGGTAGATACTCAGTGATGATGCAATAAACGGGTGGCATTTTCACAGCTGCTACCAACTGTAAAGCAATGACAAATACAATACTGTTCATACATAATTCATAACACAGATACTTTTCTTTTCAAGCAGCAACTGGGAACTCATACAAACATTAAAAACATAAAAGTTCAGCGAAAGATATGCCTCAAAACTAACCTAAGAAAAAGTAAATCAGATGAACTTGTCATCAATCAGGGAGCAAGATGTTTACCTTTATAACGTTGGGATGGCGGAGACGAGATAAAAGGGTTACTTCCCTATCAAACTGCTTTTTTAAGCGACCTGCGAGTTCTCCATTTTCGTCATCGACTGGTAGATTGATCATCTTAGCAGCAACAACGTTATCTTCGTAAAGTCCATGGTAAAGCCGACTATGAGCTCCGAAAGCAAATTTATGCCCAAAACTCAACTTGGACAGGTCAATAGATGATTCATCTACAGCCTCGACAGCGGTGACCTTCCCTCCACTGTGCTCAAAAAACCTTGTCCAAGAAGACTCCTTGAACTTGGACTTCCCATTGCCTTTAAATGAGGCAAAATGCCTCAGAAGGCCTTTTAACTTCTCTTCCTTTAAGGAATTGCGCTCCTTAGCTTTTTTACTAAATAGTCTTCTACCCTTCTCTTTTCCAGGTGCCTTCCTCTGAGGCGGTGGCGTTGAAAACCGCTTCTGATCGGTACGTGCACTCTTAAATGCATTGGAAAGCGTAGTTTGTGGAGGCCGAGCCGGAGACAAGGACCTCTGCTTGTTAAGAACATGAGATCTTGATTGTGCAACTGAGTTGAGTGGTGGGTGAGTGGCGGCAGGAAAGGAAGCCAATCGCAAGGACTCTAAACGATAGCATATTGTGTGAGAAAACTTGGTTCTTCTTAACCAAGAATTAGGATCTTCCTCCATGGCTTTCATAAGGCTCAAAAACTCTAATCAAGACTCTCAATCAACAAACCCCACCTACTATTAAGAAAACAGGACGCAACACGAACATAGAAACAGAAATTGTTCTTGTTTGGCGGAAGCTTGAGAGGGCTAATCAAAGCTGTGAAGATCAATCAAGAACAAGATCGTCTCCACCAATAACCTCATCTCCATCGAAACCAAAATCCCTTGAAAACCAATATATCCCATCAAAATCCAAGAGAAATTCTCAATCTCGGAGCACCCAAGTCGAAGTCTCTCCCTCGAACCCTCAGCCACATTGTCTGAACAAGCTCCTCCTCTTTTCAAACCTACACTGTTGGCTTCAAGAAGTCAAACGACCTCGCGTTCCTACGTCTGGAAAATCCCACACCAGAATTCCAATAAACAAATTGAATCAACAAGGCAAAAGAAAACAATCGAATCCATACTACGGACAAACTTATAATCACATTAGTCATCGATTCACATAAACAACACCCACAATCATTGTTCAAACACAAATTGAAGCGTAAGCAAAATCAAGAAAATGCAATCAGTATATGACCCAAAAACGGGAACAAGAGATTATGAGAGAAAATAAAGAAGAAACTCACCAGGAGATAAACAAAACGGTGGAGTCTCCGGCACCATTGGAGCCATATCTATATCATTGCAGCAACAAAACACCATGAAAAAAATCCCTGAGGAAATTTTGCAGTTCGTAAAGGGTTTTATAATTCGTAAAGGGAATGGGTGAACTTAGAATCTTTTGCTCGCTTTCCTTCACCGTTCGGGAATGACAGATGTTACTTGAGATGGAGAAAAAATAAACGAACAAACAAACAAAAAAGATTAAGTGTGGCTCGCACGCAGTCGAAGAGGTGTTGGTTCTCCGGGCATCCCGTGGAGCCTATAACTTTTTATTTTATTTTATTTTTTTTATATAAAGTTGGTATTTGGAGGGGTTCCACTGCGGCGCGGCGGCATGAAGCTGTGGGCCCTATTGCCCTCTAAAAGTGAAGGGGAAAGTCCAGGTGTCACAATCATAAGGAATTATAAAGATCCAGCGTGGCACTTTGATTGGTACGGCCTCCCATCCCGCCTTCCTTGGTTCAGGGTTCCAAAAAGTGGAAACCTTTCAAATTGGGTTTTAATTATGTTTTTTTTTAAAAAAAATTTAAAATAAAATATTTCAAATGGGCCTGAATGTTTTATTGGGCCTAAATGGGCTTTGCATGATTTGTGTGTGTACGGAATTGGATCTAAAATAAGAAATCTCGATTACTTAAAAGATCTTATGCATTAATTACACCTCCTTTTTTAAAAAAAGAAAAAAAGAAAAAAAACAGCATTAAATGTGACCTCGTTGAGTTGCTTGCAACGGCGGTAATCTTGAATTGAATTTCAATGGAGCTATTCAGACCGTTGATCTCTTGTAACGCATTTGCCAATGCATTGACTTTTCACTTCCGTGGAGTGCAAGAAAAATACTTGTTTTCGGATCTATGAACCAAATTTAATTAATTCTATTGGAAATAAAAATAATAATAATTTATGGTTTTTAAGCGATACAACCTATGTATAATCATTAATTTTTGCCTAATTAATACATTATAATTTAAACAAAAAGCTTAATCATTTATTTATAAAGTTATAAGAAAAACTGGTAAAATTCAGCACACGGTTTGTGTCTACCAAGCAAAGCTGAGATGCCACGTGTATTGAGTCTGAAATCAGGCCACGTAACATAACTCTCTCTTTCAGCTGCATTGCATGTTACCATCTCTCTCCACTTTATCCATCCCTGTCTTTTTCACTTTTAATTTCAAATTAATTATATTAATTTAAAACTCAAATATACAAACAAAAATAACAATATATATATTTGTATATATATTTAACGAGGTGTATTGGAAACTAAAAATTTTCCCATATTTTCCGGTGACCAAAAATGCAATAGAAAGGAGGGCACGGTCGTCTAGAAACACTGACAATTCAACTTTTATTATATATTATATCAATTTAAATTAGAAATGTTTTTTCTTTATTATTTTTAAATCATATCATACAATTAACCCTCACCCATTTTGTATATATAATAATGCCCTTGTGGCTGAAGTTTCAAGCTTCGTATTCCAAATGGGTTCTGTCGCTACCTGTGCTGTGATTGTACTCCTGCTTGGCTGCGCCCTCAATGCCTTCCAAGCGGCTGCAAACCACGGCAGCCCTACTCCGGCACCAAGGCCAGATGACCGTCACTACCCAGTGCCAGTAGCCGCCCCTAGCCATCACCACCACCATCATCACCCACCGAGCCAGTCTCCGATTTACCATCACCATGCTCATTCCCCTGCTCCTTCCCCTGTTTACGCACCTCCCCCTCCGGCTCACTATGCTCCGGTTCAACCACCCAAACGGTCCACCTACATCCCAAGAAGCTTTGTTGAAGTCCAAGGTGTTGTTTATTGCAAGTCTTGCCATTATCCTGGTGTTGATACTCTTCTTGGAGCTAAACCCCTAAACGGTTAGTTCCAAAATCGTCAGAAGGTTTAACCGTCGTTTACGAGCTGTTAAACTACTGAAACTGACTTCATCCTTTGTACAATGCAGGTGCTGCAGTGAAGCTGTCATGCAAGAACACCAAATACGCTCCAACGGTGGAAACCGCCACTACTGACAAGAATGGGTACTTCCGGCTGGCAGCGCCGAAGAACGTAACGAGCTATGCATTCCACCGGTGCAAGGTTCATCTGGTGAAGTCGCCGGACAGCAGTTGCAGTAAGATGTCGAAAATGAATGGCGGAGTGGACGGGGCGGAGTTGAAGCCAGCAAAGGCATTCACGGACGCCGAGAAGAAACCGGTTGTACTGTACAATGTTGGGCCATTGGCTTTTGAACCTAGCTGCGCTCATTGAACGTAGGTGGGAACTGTGTAGGGGTAAGGTAGTAATATCTGGGATTTTGATGTGATGTATTTGGATTCCTGCACTTTTCTAGGTTATTGTGATGTTCTAATGGAGTCGATACTTCAAGAAAACCATGCATTGCCACATTTTGTTTGATAGTTTCATAAATGTTCTTAGATTTTATGAAATCCAACTAAACAAATATTACTTCGATAGTTTGCTTAATTTATGTAATATAATAAAAAAAGTGTGACCGTTAAATGAACAACATAAAATGTTTGAAAGTTAATTAAAACAATTATATTACATAGTTTTTTTTTTATTTAATTATTAATATGTGCTACATAATAATATTTTTAATGATTTTTAGTAATTTTTATCCTCTTAAAACTCCTCAAATTTTTGCTAGATTAAAAAAATAATAAATAAAGAGACACAGCTGACAGTTTTTTTACATATGTTGGATAGTATACTTCCTCGGAAATCGGTGTTCTTTATCTTAAATCGATAATTTTCAACTTTTTCCAACCATAATCAATTTAAAGAAAATAACGGTAACTGTTTATTTATGTTTAACGGAGAAAAAAAATTCGTTGCATTTATTCCAAGTTTATATTGGGAAGGTTGCAATGGCTAAACTTGATACAAGAAAGTTTGAACATTCTTTATTTGTAATTTTGCTGAATTAATAAAAAAAGAATTCCTTAATTTTTAAAACTTTGTATAATACACTTAAACTTTAAAATAAAATATTTAAAATATTTTTAACGATGGAATCAATCAATATTTAATTTTCAACATTTGTTTTAATCTTGTTTTCAAATTCTATTTCGAAAATCTTTCTATCTCTATGTTTTGAAAATCTTATTCTTAAATGGTGTCAAAGTATTGAGTATATGTCGTCTATAGACGACACAATTTTAAATTGGTTTGACTAACTCAGTGCTGAGAGTAAGTTTGTAAATGTCTTGAAGGTGTAATAGCTCAAGCCCACCGCTAACAGATATTGTTCGATTTAACCCATTACAAATGGTATTAGAGTTTGACACTGAGCGATATGCCAAAAAAAACGTTGGGCTTCTACAGGGGAGGGAGTGGATTGTGAGATCTCACTCCAATTAAAGAGAAAAATGAAACATTTCTTATAAAGAGTAAAAAGTTTTCTCTGATAGATGCGCTTTAAAATCGTGAGACTGAGTATATTACATATGTAATAGACCAAAATAGGCCTAAATAGGTAAAATCTAGTGACAGTAGCCATTGTGACATGTTGACGTGGAATATAGATTACACTTAACGGTCAATTTTGATTGTGTACCAATTTGAAATTCACCGTTCATTAAAAAAAATAAAGTAGAATAAAAAGAATGAATGAGATCCGTGGGGGCGAGGGTAAAGCAAATGCGTGGCGAGAGGAGCGGGCGCATTTTGAGATTGAATCCAAAATGGGCACTCAAAATAATAATCCTCTACAGGTGTCGCACCGTATAACAACCGTGGTCCCTTCTCCGTTTTGTGGCATTTAGTTTCAATTTTTATTTAAAAAAAACATTGAAAATTGGAAGAGAATTGGATTCACCTCTCTTCTCTCTCTCTCTCTTTTATTTAAAAAATTGATAGTAAATAAAGTAAAGAAAGAAAGCGTGGGGGTAAGATTCCTGGCACACCAACAATAAATAAATAAATAAATAATTTATATATATATATATATATATATATATAGCTCAAATTCAAAATTCAAATGCCCCGAAGTTGAATCAAATTAATTGCTATGAATATGCAACCATGCTCCTAACTTCACTTTCACGTGGCTCGACCTGTAAATTTAGAATTTTCGAGAGATGAGAGACCTACACTATATATTCTAACACTTTTAATGGATCATAACATTATATTTTATCGTAGGTTGGTTTGAGATCCTCGTTTCTTTCCTAATTTAGGTTTTGGATGTTAGATTGAGTTAACCCTTATGATGTTCGAGCTAGGGGCATGCATTTGACCTACCCTAATTAGCAAACTGCTAAACTAGTCAAAGTCGATGTCCATTTGAAGAAGTATTAAGTTATTTTAAAAGAATCAAATGCTTTTTTTTTTTTTTTATGGCATATAATTATCTTCCTATAATTTAAAAAATAATTATTGCAATATACCAACAATCCACAATGACATTAAAAAAACAAAATAAGCAGAGTAAACTATTGTTATATTTTAAAAAGAATAACACTAGGTACTATTTTTGCTCACTTATTGTCCACTCAATTTAATAATAGGACAGAGAAGCTTTATTCCCCATATTTTCCATCCAATAGGCGTGACTAAGCATAACATATTTTAATTAAATTCCATAAATCAAATTAACCTCCTATTTTTATTTAATTAAAGTATATAACTATAATTTCAATAATATCCTTTAATTTAAAAAAAAAAAAAAAAAAAACCCGTTAGCCGTTTAAAATATTTTAAAATTACGACATGTAATTTATGTGTTACATAGGTTTTATAGAGTTATCGTATGTTTGTGTATTATTTAAAATTATTTCGCTACCTGGGGGGCTACGTTTCATAAATAGATGGTAAAATTAAGGGTATTTTCGAAATAATAAAATAATGGGTATCAATAAATGACCTTATGATTTGGTGATATTACCGAATCTGCCACGAGTCTGTAGACCGTCAATGTGCGGAAAATTTGAATCTTTTCTTGACGTTTTCCACCACTCTGTCTCTCTGTCTTTGTTTCTTTGTCCAATTTTTCTCCACTCGGCCAATTGAATACCGGGCACCACACAACTTCTGCTAACCCCACTCTCATCTCTAGCGCGTATTCTTCACATTCAAAAACTGTTTCTCTTGCTATTATTATTAAATTTTTTTAACGTTATATATTAATTATTGAGTTTTGCATTAAAAAAACCGTTGGTTTAATACATGAATTATTAGAATCTGTTGTATTGGTTTTTCATTTTAGAAAAATATTATTATTGATACAACATCATCCTCTATTCACTTATTTTGAAATATTTTTAAATAATTAAAAACTATTCCTATAAATTAGTAAATATAAGATTCTTCAAAACTAAACCGGTTTAATTTTAAAATTTTTGTTATTAAAAAATAGTAGTATATAAGCATCATATCTTTAAAATGATTTTCATTTATATATGATATCGATTAATTTAAGTACATTTTTTTTTGATGTCATACTAATTTTTATGGTTATTCTATTAATGGTAAGAGAGATTATTTGAAAGTTTAATAAAATCTGTCATAATACGTCAAAATATTGTGGAATAAAACAATATTTAAAAAAAAAAAACCCCAACCAATATAAATTATAAAGCTTCCTTTTGTTAATAATCCAAAAAGAAAAAAAAAACCCATAAAAGTGGTGTTATGAATTGGGACCCAAATGCTTGATATTATCGAGGTAGAAAGTTGACAATCATTAATTTATTGTATTTATTTTCAAAATAATTTGAAGTTTATCCATTTATAAAAAAAATTAATTTAGGCGGAGGACCCAAACTTTGGTCTAATTTTAATAAAATACTCGGTCTTCCAGGTACGAAGGGGTAAGATTTCTGTTTATTTGCATTAAAATATAGGCTTTTCGGAGTAATTATGAATCAACTATTAATTAATTAATGATTATTATAATTGGTAACCCTCAAATTAAAAACTAATTAATGCTTGTCGACCACTGTTATAAGTAGCCATGGAAGTTATGGACATCTCTAGAATTTAATTATTTATAAATATGATTTTTAAAAGTTTATTTTTCAATATTAAAAAAATAAAAGATAAAAATGAGGGAAAAAGGGGCGTGGAAAGAAGGCGCGTTGTTGATGATGAATATGAATGATTGAAATTTGAAGGTAGGCAGTAAAAAGAAAGTCCCCTCCAAAACGTTTCTTACCAAACCATGAACCAGACGGCGAAGGCAGAGGCGGAGGCAGAGGCAGAGGCAGAGGCGGAGGCAGTAAGAAATAAGAACATCACTTTCTCTCTCATCTACCCCACTCACCACGCCTCTGCTTCTTTCTCAACACCTTCCTTCCCCTTTTTCTCTCTCTACCTCTCTGTGAAACCTCTTCACTGATCACAACCCTTCGATGGAATCCTCTTCAATTTTACAAGAAAACCCATGCCCTTCTTCTTCTTCTTCTTCTTCTCTCCTTCCTTCTCCAAGTAGCCGCATGACTCACAGCACTACCAGCAGTAGCAGCACCAGCTATGGACTCCAACAACTCATGCCTCCACCGCATCACTTGCACTCGCCCAAACCCATCACTCGATCCGAATCTGTCAATCCTTACCCCACTACCTTTGTTCAAGCTGATACCTCTTCTTTCAAGCAAGTAGTTCAAATGCTCACTGGATCCCCTGAAACCGCCAAGCAAGCCTCTGTTAACCCTGCTGCTGCGCCTTCCAACTCTGATTCTGTGTCCAAAACGCACATTCCGCCCATTAAATCTTTACCCAAAAGGCAGCAATCTGGATTCAAGCTCTACGAGCGTAGGAACTCTATGAATAAACTTAAAATTAACCCGGTGTTTCCCGTTTTCGGTTCCACTACTCATTCGGGGTTTTCTCCGAGGAAACCTGAAATTCTTTCTCCGAGTATTCTGGACTTTCCCGCGCTCGCTCTCAGTCCGGTCACGCCGCTGATTCCCGACCCGTTTGATCGATCTGGGTTGGCGAATTGTAGCTACTTGAAGAATGGGAATGCCAAGTTGGATGCAGAGGCGGAAGAGAAAGCGATTAAAGAAAAGGGGTTTTACTTGCATCCATCGCCGACCACCACTCCTCGTGACTCTGAGCCTCGGCTGTTGCCACTGTTCCCAATGACATCTCCTAGAGTGCCAGGTTCATCATCCATTTCATGAATTGCTCTTTTCTTTTCCTCTAAGGATTTTGGGTTTTTCAATTTTATATGTTGCTGCTGGGTGATGGCATTTGATGATAATGAAAAGGAGGTGAGAGTGGTAAGGCTTGTAATGATATATTTTCAGAGAGTGATAGATTGTTGCTTCAATTACAAAATTTGATGTTCTGTATCCTTTCTTATGAAAAAAAGGAATAAAACTTAGCCCCATTTTCTCTCTTGTTTGTTCCCAGAAGAAAAAACTTAGCCCCAAATTCAATCATGTTTCCCCCTTCCTGAAGATTAATGTTCTATCGGATTCTTTTTTCTTCAAACCCACGACAGTTTACAAACAACTTTAGGGATGAGCTATAATCCCTTTCCATATCTGAAAATTTGTTTAGCCGATCGGTTATGATTACCATTATTACTGCTCGTCGTGTAGTCAACACTCACCACTGAATAAACGCAATATAAATGCGAAGACTATGATTTTGGCATTGGCAAAGCAATTAGTGTGATGCAGGTGAATGAGGAAAAAGGAAGGGTGGCGTGGGGGAGGGTTATGAAAAGCGGCCTCGACCCTGCTCTAACTTTCAACGATGGGAGTAAAAGCTGGGCGTGGAATCTTGACCTTTTGTTACCTTTTGTGTTGTATCTTGTAAGCTTTTGTCATTGGTAACTTTCTTTTTGCTCTCTTTTTTCCTCTGTGCTCCATATTCCATGTTTGAGGCCTGAAGTAACTTGTGATCATTTATCCTGATAGGATTAGAAAATTGATTCTGGAAGAAGATTTAGGTGAGATGGAAGTGAATCTGGTCAACACTTTTAGTTGAACAATAGCAATCTTATCATCCATCTTAGTTTAGGGCAGCTGACAAAGTAGGAAGGAAGCATCCATGATGAGTTATTCTCTAGAACAGGACATTACAACTATTATAAAACGAGGAGTTTCCCTGTCAGAAAAGGTACTCAAATGGGGACGTTGAAGCTGGAACACTAGATAGGGCTGTGTTTAGTGATGATCTGAGTAGAATTTGCAGGCATGGTAGAGATATTTTGTTCTTAACCCTTACGGTGGCCTACATGATTGACACTGAACAATCCGCCGAAACAAGCTCTCAAAGTAAATGGGGACACGGGAGGGAAAGGAAGTGGGAGTTGTGATGAAGAAAGAGAAAGGGGGGCGGAAAGCCAGAAAACATGGTGCTCTTTTTCAGTGATGTTTGTTTGTTTGTTTGTTTGTTTGGCTGATTGTTTTTATATGGATAGTATAGTGTGGTGTTTCTTGTTGTGGGTTTGCTTTTTGTATACTTTTTGACACACTCCTATATGTTGGTGGGTGTCATTAATTGCAATCTTGAAACTTTTCTCTAACTGCTATCACTCCCTGCCTCTTAAAACGACCCTACTCCCTACCCGTCAAGAAGGGTCAACTTCTTTACTTCAACATCACCCTAATGTCATTTTGCCTTTAGAATCTACCGAAATGGGTTCACATACAGAAACCTTGTTACAACTTCTCCTTCCTCTAAATGATAAGGTTCAGTGGACTTCACACGACATTCCGGACAGAAAACCGCTCACGTAGTTGCAATTCAAACGCTTCACCAGACCATACTGTCAGTGTACAAAAGAGAAAAGTGGGAGAATGGTGGTGGTGAGGATGGTGAAGTGAAGTAAGAGAGGGGGATGATGATTGATGTGTTGTTGTAAAGGAAAGGAATACGCAATGGATGGGGAATTGATGATATAAAGGCATTCATTCTCCCTCTCAAAGGCTTTGAGCGTTGGCATAGATTCCCACTAACAATGTCCCACCCAACCAAACGCATCTTTTTGAATTTCTGCTCTTTATTTATTGCCAACCACATCATAATCCCCTTTCCTCCTATTACCAGTTTATGCTCAAATATCTGCTTACACCATCCTTTCTATCTCTCTCCTGTTGTTGTTTTTTTTTGTTTAATCTGTATTCCCGTTTTTAGGGAATTGTACATTGGAGAATTCTAATTTCCCAGTAAATTACTTGAATAATTATGTAAATATTGCAGGGTTTATGATTCCCAAGATAATTAAAGTAACGTAATATGTAATCTTAGAATAGTAGTGAGAGTGTGGAAATGGTGTTTAAATCTCATACAGGCTAGCATCATCATAAACTTCTAAATGAAAATACCTCATCTTCGTCATCAATGCATTCACGGACGAAGCCAGGTGTGTCGGAGGAGGCATGGCTCAGTCGGCATGAGAGAGATCCCAAATGCCGGCAGTCGTTGGAGGACGATGAATGGGTAGGCGCAGGCGCAGCCATGTGCAGAAGGAAATAGAAGCTTCATTTCTATTGCAGAGGAAAGTAGAGCATTAACTGTGAATTTAATTGGAGGGTGGACCACTGGGTGTCACTGGGCCTGATCACAACAAATTGGGCCTTTTTGAGGCCCAAAACACAGAACCTGACCAGAAATAGAGAATTAAATTGGGAATGGATGAAGTCTATACATACATACATGATTTTAATAAATGGTCGAAATTGTTCACTTAACGCAGGTTAGGAACTCAAGTTTCATAGGTTTAATTTGATGTCATTAATATAACTTTTATTTCTTAAGATACATTATGACCAGCTAGGCCCATTTAGTTCAACAAAATGTAAGTTGGGTTGGGCCGAAAACAAAGAGCCCAAACTCGGTTTTTGCCCATTCCCAAATCCAAAGAATGAGTCTAAAACTAATCCAAGCCCAAGCCCATGTAAGACCTAAAACAGTGACTTTAAAAAATTTAATTCAATTTGTTGGTTGACTTTAATATTTAAATCTGATGAGATTTTAATTATTAATGTAAAATAAAAAATTAAATTTAAATTGGTTCTAAACTTTATTGTGGTTGTTCGGGTTCGCATTGGTACCAAAAAAAAATTGAACCGAACCCATATACACTCTTCTAAAATTTCATTGGATGAAAAGAAAATTCCATGAGAAAGTGCTAGAATAAGCTGAAACCAGAAAAATGAGAATAATAAATGAGAAGAGAATCCCATTCATGATCTGTGGACCCTTCGCACTCTAATCCCATTTAGACTACAAATTAGGGTTCACCCTCTTGAAGCCTCCATCTCCTGGGCCCTATTCTCTAGTTACATCTATTGATCTCTGAGAATATCTCTTGTTTCAATCCAACGGCTATACATGTAGAGCTCACCATAAACACTCTTCACCACAGCGTACACAATCAATACCCAGTGATGATTGTACCTAATAACCACCTCCTAGACCACCTTGCCATCAATTAGGTGTTTTTATTCTCTTGGGATTTTTTTCCCTCTCTTCTACGTGTTGAGAATCTTTTTAAGATTTAATTCATGAATTTATTAAATATTCATATTTAAAATTTAAAGTCATAATCATTTTATATTTATCTATAAAATAATACTTTAGCCGGGATATACACTTATAAACACTTCGAGGCAGAAGTACTTGTGTGTGTGCCAACATGTTGACTGTGTTTATTGTGCATTTGATTGAGAGCATTTAAAGATACGGAATTTCCCTTGAAACTCCACCACCGCAGAAGCCATGTTAGGCTGTTTGCCAATTCCCATAATGGAATTCAAATCAGATTTCTAAGTTTTGAGAATGCCCAGATGATCCTCCTTGCATTTGATGCAAAGCCCATTAAAAAGGAGACAACTTTGTCCAAAATCAGCGTAATTTAGCTCTGTTTTGAGCTCAAAAACAAATGGGGTCATTTCGTTTGGTTTACAAGGGATGTTCTCTGATTAGTCAATAAACACACCGAATGTTTAGCCACTGCCACTTATTCTTCATTTCCTTTGGAACTTTTCTATGAACAACAAAAATATAATCCCAATCCCACTTGATATCTAAAATTTTGTTTTTGATTTTGTTTTTCATGGTCACCCTTTTGCTTTCTCTGTTCTTTTCTTATTACTGCTGACAGCGTACAGGTGTCGCACGCTTCTTACATAGCTATAGCTTCCTGTTCTCCGTCTCTGTCTATCCTCCAAGTGTGCACTTTTGGGTGGATAATTTGTTTTGGTCTCTGCTTCAAATATATTTGCTCCGATTCTTTTAATGGCGATGGAGGTTTGTCAAAGCTTTTGATGCCTACTTCTTGCTTCTCTTCTCAGGTGCCCTTTCCTCTTCACTATCTCTATTTTTTTCCCTAATTTCTACTATCCCTTTTTACTTTTCTCTCTTTTGCTTCACTTCATGTGGGGTTCCTCCAAATCTTTCTTTTCTGGTGTCTGATGCACTCATCTTCTTGTTCTTCAAAGTTGGTGTTCAATTTTAGGGAACACCCTTTAAACCAATCACACCCAATAGCCATGGATTGTGAAAGTTGTAAGCCTGCGTGCTTGGTTTACTGATTTTACTCTTCAAACAGTTCAATTCTTCATCTGGGCTTCAATTTTGGCTCCTCTAAACTTATTTTCTCGTGCTAATTTTGGGATGTTTCTTCATTTTGTTCCCAAATTTCTCTTTGCAGCACTTCACCATTGATTTTCCTTTGTTTTTTTGGCTCTACCCCTCGTCGAAGTGATGTCTTTAACATCAGTTTTTAGTGTTTTTATTCCTATTAAAGATCACGTAAATTAGTATTTGATTAAATCTGAAGTTGATTTAATTTTGATTTGATTTAATTTAGCTTTTGATTTGTTGCCAGATTTTATGCCGATTTTTAGATAGATTTTTTAATATCTTTTTATATTCTTGTATATAGAGCCTTCCACCTCTTCATAATACACTCTTTTCATAATACACTCTTCTCATCGACCATTTAATCACGGCTGTTTCACCCCTTCTCAGGTAGTGTAAGTGTAACTTGAACTAAGCTGCTCAATTTTAACCATGACTACCGCTACAAATCAAAACAGAAAGGAGAAATTGCTTAACCAGGTAATTTGCTGCATAAGTTCTTCTATCTTGTTTCTTTTGCAAATTATTACTCTTTCAAGAATATGAGTGTTCATGTCAGGTTGTAACCTTGGAAAAGCAGTTGACATCATCAATCCTTTCAAGAGGGACATTGCATTCAGATGTCAAAGATCTATACCACAAAGTTTGTTCAATTTACGAGAGAATTTTCATGAGTGAACAAGAACAATTAGAGCTTCAAGATGTGGAATATTCTCTGTGGAAGCTTCATTACAAGCTCATCGACGAGTTTCGGAAAAGGATAAAGAGAAGCTCTGCAAATGCAGAGAGCCCAAAGTTGGGGACAGCACAAAGTCCTAACAATCATGTTGCAGAATTTAGGTTGTTTCTATTAGAAGCTACAAAATTCTACCAAAAACTGATATTGAAAATCAGAGAATATTGTGGTGTTCCAAAAGAAGGCTTGTTGTATAAAGCATTTGGTGTCTCGAAAGGTATCGATCCAAAGAACAAGAAAAAGACGTGTCGATTCTTGTGTCACCGTCTTTTGGTTTGCCTTGGGGATCTTGCTAGGTACATGGAACAGCATGAAAAACCAGATGTTCATTCCCATAAGTGGTTAGCTGCTGCTACTCATTATTTGGAAGCAACAATGGTTTGGCATGATAGTGGAAACCCCCATAATCAGGTATTCTTATAATCTCATGACCTTTCCAACCATGATATCAGATATTATTACTTCTTTTACTCATTTGTTCATGTTTCTTTCCAGTTGGCTGTATTGGCAACATATGTTAACGATCAGTTTCTTGCTATGTATCATTGTGTGAGAAGTTCTGCAGCCAAAGAACCTTTTCCTGATGCTTGGGATAATCTTATTTTACTATTTGAAAGAGTAAGTAAGACTCATTTTGTACTCCATTTTACCTTTTGGGTCTTATCCTCTAGGCCTTCTACACATGTTTAACTAAATGACCCTACAGAATAGGTCATCTCTTCTGCCTTCCCTCTCTAAGGATGGCCAGTTCGATTTCCTAAGACCGGCCGAGAAGTGCTGTTTCGAGATGAAATCACAAATCAAAGACGATCACGAATCTCTAGAGAGACACTTTTTTCCTCTGCTCATCAGAACATTGGGTTTCTTTTTCATAAAATCCAGGTACGTTAGCTGCTCGAACTTTCGGTATGGATTTCACTGTTGCATTTGTAGGGGATTTGTCTTATGAACTCTTATTTCATGCATTGCAGTTTGGAGGAATTCATAAGTACATTTTCATCCATGATGAGATGGCTGGATGAACTCTTGTCTTTAGATGATTCTGAGTTAAATGTTTCATTAGAGTCCTATAAGCTTTTGGATTCAGTGAGGACAGGTCCTTTCCGAGCCATTCAAATAGCTTCTGTATTCATCTTCATGGTACAGAATCTTTTTAGCAAATTTGAAATGAATGATGAGCACCAACTTGAGCTGACTCACTTGGCTTTGGTTGCTACCTTTATTGTCATGGGACGTCTAGTTGAGAGATGTTTGAAGGCGAGCCAATTGAATTCGTGCACTCTTTTACCCGCTGTGCTCGTCTTCGTCGAGTGGTTACCGAACGTTCTTGATGAAGTAGTAAAATATGGTTATGATGAAAAATATAGAAGCTCCATGTCTTACTTTTTTGGTGTTTATGTCAAGCTTTTAGAGAGACTGAGTATTAATACAGCAGAGGCAGAGTGTTCTCTTGATGTCCCTCTGTGGGAAGACTATGAGTTAAGAGGCTTCACACCTTTAGCCTTTGCACACGAACCATTGGATTTCTCATCCCACTGGGAACACATGAACAACTTTGAATTGGGAGCAAAACACCGTGCTTACCGCATAATTGTTGTTGCCACCAAAGTGTGCAACATGGCTAATGATTCTCCAAAGTGGATAATTTATGATAGGACGTGGAAGGTCTTTTACACAGAAGAACAAAATGAACTGGAAGAGCCAACTCAGGATGTCCGTGAGAAAGATACTCTTCAATCTTTCCCTGTTGAAGATGAAGAAGTCATTCTTTTCGATCCGCTCATGAGGTATAATTCTGCACCAATCTCGATCGTAGGGAGCGACGAAGTTTCACCGAAAAGCAACGAGGCGGAGACGATATCTTCTGATGAATGCTTGAGGCGTGCTACGTCGCTACTTATAGAACAGACACAGGGCCAGAGGGATCCCTTTACTTTTCATACAGATGCAGAAGTACATCAAATTTCAGAAGCCTCCTTATCTACAGGACCCCCTTCACTTAGTGCCTGGGTGCTCAACAGGGGTTTTAGTATTAACACTGATAGAGAAAAAGGGACAAATGGTTTTGGTAAAACTGGTTTGCAGCCCATTGATGAGTTAACTCCGGAGTTTATAAATGGTCAAACCGAGAATTGTGCTTCGAGTCCGAGCTGTGAATCTGGAAAATCATATCGTTTTCCTCCTCCTCCTCCTCCCTTTTCTGTCCCAGCACCATCAGCCCCTTGTTTACCTGATGATGCTGTTTGGTTTAATGGTACCAATGCTACCATCTCTGGTGGCCAAATCTGTAGGGACGTGGACCGAAATGATACTTTGTCAAATGGTTTTCGAGGTAATTGGGGTCCCCCTCATGCTACACATGAATATAGTCCCTTGATTACTGGTTTTACGAACATGTGTTCGTCCACGCATCGAATGAGTTCGTCTGAATGGCTTCGCCAATATAGGGAGAATCACAATCTGGATAGGGTGAGTAATCAAGTATTGGCAGTTCCCTGCAATGCCTCTAGAACTGATACTTCAAGGTATGACCATTTGTATCAAATAGGGAATCGGTTGGCTTCTAATCCAACAATGAATATGGAGAGTCCATTTTTCCATCCAGCATTCCCTCCAGCTTACGGCGCAAATGACAACCAAAAACACATGCTCGGCCACGGTTACGCGCCGCCGCCGCCGCCGCTTCTGCTGCACCTGAAAGATAAAGAATGGAAGCTCCAGAAAGATGCTGCCTATATGGGGAATTGAGGATTTTGTTCGATTTTGATCATCATTCAACATTTGCTGTTTCCAGAAGCCAGAAACTGTCAAATGAAAGAGTTTGATTTTGTATATAGGCGTATAGAAAGTTGGAAAGAATTTCACCCCTTTGCAGTGGGTTAGTTTCAAGTGAATTTGTATTTATATAATTATCTCACCTCAACATTGAACAAGATTGCTTGATGTCTGATGAGATATTGTATCCTTATTCTTCTGCATTTCATAGAACACAGCTGAAGAATTTTCTATGTTGTTCTGTTTTCTCGAACTTAGTCAGCATGTTCGTGTTGCATAGTCATCCATAGCTCCTGGTTACTGGTCCACCTCAGCACACACTGGCCTCGAGTGCGACATTGACAATATGTCCTTGTAAGTTTGCCTGGAACTTCAAAACTCATCTCTTGAGAGCTCAGTGTCCTCGTTAACACACCATTCATTGACTAGCTCTAATACCATTTGTAACATCCAAAGTCCACCGCTAGTAGATATTGTTCTCACAAACTTTTTAAACCAATCCTATCATCAAAATCAAATTGAAATTCCAATTTTATGAGTGTGAACGATCTAAATATTGTCGAGGGCACGTCGAGGCTCCTAATCCACCAAAAACGCTTTCCCTTGGCATGCGCCCCGAACTCCCAAAGTCAATACCTTCCCTTCACATCCACACAACCAAATAGCTTACCAAATATATACCCACATACTCGTTTTGTGAGGTAAAGCCAGAAAATAATGCAAGGGGCTGCAGCTGCGTCCAATGAAGAAACCAAATCCACACTGATCCAACCAAACTGCCCTCGCTGCGACTCTTCCAACACCAAGTTTTGTCACTACAATAACTACAGCCTTTCACAGCCGCGTTACTTTTGCAAGTCTTGTCGAAGGTACTGGACTCATGGTGGCACTCTCCGTAACGTCCCCATTGGCGGTGGCTCTAGAAAACCAAAGCGCCCCAAAACAATACCCTTTTCTTCCCCTTCTCCGGACACTCTCAATGCGCCGCCGTCTCTTGCCCTACATGCTGGTGGACCTCTTTCCTATTCCGGTGCTGGGTATCACTCTACTCTCAATGAACCGTCTGTGGCTGTGGCTGTGGATGTGGATGTGGGGGCTTATGCATTTGGATTATCTCAGAGCTTTGGTCATGGTGATCATAATACGATGTGGACTACCATCAACAACTCCATCAATTCTTGCTCTGCAGGTAATTACGAAAATTTAAGCCTAGAAACTGAAAATGAATGCTGTAATTTGGTCCAAAATCATCATGATCATGATCATCTGCCTCCCTATGCCCGCCCCCTTTGATTTCATGTTAGACTGCTTAAAAAAAAAACATGTTATTTTGACCTCGCATTTAATATCCATTAGAATTGTCTCCATGAGCTTAAGCTCGGATGACTTTGGTTTGAACTTTTCGAAAAACCCTCGTACCAATGTAGATCTATTCCTTATCAACTAAAGATCATTCCCTAAATCAATTTTGTGGGCCCAACAATCCTCGACACATATAGTTACAGATATCTCGATCTCTTATTTTACTTTCTGTTTATTTTTTATGGGATCGGGTTAAGATTACCGAAGAGATTTCACATCTTCCAAATTTTTTTCATTGATTTTATATATTTACATTTTAAGAAAAATATTCTTTTTGAAAAATTCAAATTTAATGGTCCTAAATGTTAGACATCAATTTCAAAAATTCAAACTTAAAAAATATAACCTAATCTTCTAACACTTATATCTAATACATATAAATAAATTAGTAATTGTTTTATTCAAAATTGATATCTATAGGTTAAATAAACATATAGTTCAGCGATAATTGTTTTCATTATTTTGTCTCTTTAGCTGATGAGGCTAGCTCGTTGCATGCATGCACGTGTTTACTTTTCGTTTGAATTTTAAATAAGAAGGCACCAAGCCAAACTCACCCAGAAAAATTGAGAGAATTAATGATAATTTGATTGAATAAATTAATATGGAACAAAGTAGCTTACAGCATCTGATACCACGCTCATATCTTAATTGATATCATGACAATCTCCGTTGATACATTCCCAAACGTTGAATTTTAATCAACTTGTATATTATAATTAATCTATCAAGTTTTTGGGCGACAGAATCTTATCGAAAAAAATCTAACTGCTTCGTCAATTGAAATAAAGTGGTGGGCATGGTGGTTTCTGAGTAAGCCAGAATATTGTTGGGTCTGCCACCTCGTTGCACATCCCTTTCAAAACAATCTTCATTGTGCTTAATAATTCCGAGTTTTGTCCATTCAAAATGACAAGAAATCAATTCTAAATTTGTTGTTTCTTGTCACCACTTTGACGAGTGGCGCATAGCTTCTGCAAATTATTGATTGGGATTACCATATTTGGAGTTTTGCAACAAATTTGAATGAATATGAAAGGGTTTCATTTTTGGATTTGATACTCACTCGTACATAAAAGTGGGTGAGAGTTGATTAAGACATCACATTCTATAGCACAGATGTGAAAAGGAGAACGGTTAAGTTTGGCCTTGCTTGTGGAACAACTCTTTGTTTGGCTTCCAAATCCCATTATGTTTACAAGACAGAGACCCTTCATGCATGCTTGCTTGCTTGCCTGCCTTGCTCGTTTTGCTGATTAGATAGAGATAATTTACACGTGTTGATGGCCTATTGGACACAACTTTCGAGTAAGGGAGTCAATCGTTCAAGGTACTGATTACATTTGCCTTAACTTAGGGTGACGATGATGTGAAATTAGAGCTGTGAGAGAGATACAAGTGTCATGTTACTATGCAAGGTGGCGGGTTGCTGCACCCTAGATGGCAAGAGTTCACTGGGATCACGAGTGACTCAGTGAGAATCAACCAGCAACACTAAATATCTTAAACTTATATATATATATATATCTATATATGATTCGGCAGGCCTGTTTTTGGGCCAAGTACAGAGTGATTCAGTTGAGAAAAGCCCATTGGCAGTAAGTAGTCTCCCAACGAAAGGGGAGTTTATTTTGTTTATTTATTTAATTTAAAAGGGAATACAAAGGAACTTCAATGACCTTTTGATTATTTCTAGTTTTTATTTTATTTTATTTTTTTAAAAAATTTAGTCACTTTTTTTAAAAAATAAACAATATATACTTTCTAAATACCTAAAGAAACAATGTAAAAGAATAGGCAAAATCAATCTCTTCCATCTTTTCAAACAAAAAAAATATATATATATATATTCTTTGAAACTAATTTTTAATCCAGACATTAATAATCTTTTGTATCAATTAATTAGGAAACTTAATAAAAATAATTATTATTATTTTAAATCTAAGAATAAGAATAATAGTAGAATTGGGAATTAGTTGAATTTGAGATGAAAGCATATGATGAGGTGAATTTAAAGTGAGATTAATACAAATGTTTTGAAAGACCCAAATCTCCCCCCCGTCTCTATACCACCACACCATTATACCCAGCCCCCACCAAATAAACAAAACTTTAACCTCAAGTGGAACATAACATATACCAGCCCCCACTAAACCCTACCTCAAATACTGTAAATCAACTCCTTTTCTTTTCTCCCCTATATTTACAACGCAACCAAATAAAACCCAACTTACTGAAATTTAAAAAAAAAAAAAAAAAAAAAAAAAAAAAGACAAGTTCTAGCCTTCCTTCCACTGATCTCTTGCATGGGAGATGATGATATTGAAAGTCAGGGATCCGAGGTTCCTCTCAGCGCAAAATCCATATGGGTAATGGAAAATGGGAATGAAAAATGAAAAATTCTCTAACTTTTCGTGGAAAAAGTGAAAATTTTTCAATTTGGATCATCCTTCTTGCTGCTGACATGAACACTCCGATCCCCAAGTTTGCTACTTTATTTTGTTCTTCACAACCAAACCAGACCCATTAAAGTTCACAACAAGTAGAGAAAAAAAAAAAAATGAAGAAATTGTAAGATCTAGTGAAGAGATGAAGGTGGGGTTTAAATTAAAATTCATTTCCCCCCTAGATGAGAGAAGAAGTGATAGATGAAGCAAGATTTTCGGGATCGTGCCAGGTTTGAGAGCTCCAATTACCGTAGAGTGGATTATGATCATTAGATTGGGTAGCAATTTCATCCGCTTGATTCTGCTGATCATCCCAATTTAGCCTCTTCATCCCATCTTCCAATTTCACATCTTTCACATTCAGCCCTAATTGATCTCCACCGTTGGATCCCATCACATGATCAACTTCCTGTTGATGATGGTGACCAAACGCTGGAGAAGCTAGGTTATTACCAAATAGATTCGGATCAGTGGATTTGAACCCAACACCATTGGTGAACTTGGAAGCAAGCAATGAAGAAATGGAGGTTGAAGAAGATGGGTTATGAGCAAATAAGGTAGAATAGCCCGAAAGGAGCGAACTGAACCCATTAAGATTAAAGTCCCTGTGATCAATATTAGGAGAACAAAACCCTAACCCAAGAGGATTTAAATCATACCCGGAAAATGGAACGTTGAGATCGGAGGTGGAGGCATAAAACATATTGGGACAAGAAGTTGAAGAGGAGGAAGTGGAATCCGGGGCCGGGGAGGTGACGGCGGCAGTAGTAGTAGTAGTCGTCGTTGTCGTAGTAGTAGTAGAAGAAGAAGGTCTTTTGAGGCGCTTGTTTTTCCGGCAGCCGCCACCGACAGGGACATTCCTCAAGGTGCCACCGCGGGTCCAGTAGCGCTTACAAGCCTTGCAAAAGTGGCGAGGCTGAGACAAGCTGTAGTTGTTGTAGTAACAAAATTTGGTGTTTGAAGAATCACAACGAGGGCATCGGAGAGGGTCTTGTTGGTGTTGTTTGAGTTGAGTTTTCTGATCATGTTGTTTGTCCATTACTAATCCAGAGGAAGAAGAGGGCATGAGATTATTCAAACCCTTTTGATGATGATGATGATCATGATCTAAACTTGTTGGATGATTCTTCATCTATGTGAAAAGAAAGAGGAACAGCATACACATATTATTCCAATCCAAAGGGAAAGCAACAAAAAAATTAAGGGTATGGTCAATTTTTGGTTGTAATAATTTGAGAGAGAGAGAGAGAGAGACAAAAAAAGAGAGAATTTACTTACTTGTGGCCATTGGTTAGCTGATGAAGAGATGAGAACCATTTTGTCACAGTTTCCCAGCATTTCTTTTTGGATCTCTCCTTTCTCTTACACCAATTTTGTTTGGAAACAAAGTGTAAACAGACAAAGAGTAGGTGATGAGGGAGGATTTTATTTCAAACCCTCTCTCTCTCTCTCGCTCTCTCTCTCCGCCTCTCTCTCTGCCTCTTTCTCTCTCTCTCTCTAAGATGGGGTTGAAAATATTATGACCAAACAATTAATTTGAAGTCATTGATGATTATATGTATAATTTAATGAGAATTTCACGTGGTGTGTGGATCTAAATATTTGAATCTCTCTCTTTCTTTATTTCTTTATGTCTGAAAAAAACAGCTAAAGAATGTTGAGAAACATTCAGAAATCCAATAAAAAAAAAAGGGGAGAAATAAAGTTTGAAGAATATTACAGAGATGAATCTTGAGAGGTTCAAGAAAAGAATGGCATGCATTTCGAAAATTTCTAGGACAATAACAAGAACAATTTAAGAACAATAAAATAACATATCACCTAACATGATTCAAAGTATTCAAAAAGATATAATTCAAATATTCAAACTATCAAGATTTTAGGAGATGGTTAGTAGATAATGAATCGTGTTTAATTCATCTATTTTATCTATTCTTATCTCTTTCACTGTCCTTTTTCCAACATAGCAGATAATGAATCGTGTTTAAGTTTGTGTTGGAGTAAGAAGTATAGAGAAGGGAATCCCTAGAGTGCTCAATGCCCAATGCAAAGCATCTAACCCACATTCCCACCACTTTCACCACTTCCACTTTAACCCTCCAACGCTTTCAAAGCTTTGTTTCACTGTCCGGTTGTTCTCAGAAACAGCTTTCCACAGAATCTATAATATTTGGATTAAGCGAGAATTAAGTCTAAATTAAGAGATAATTAGATGAGGGATGCATTAAAGTAAAAGGTTAAATAATATAGCCCGGAAAGGGGAAAGTTGATAGGAAGAAGAGGGTTAGTGAGAGAGAAAGGTGAGCATTAAATGGTAAATGCATTATTGAGGGTTATAATTTAGATGACTTTTGTGGGCATCTAATTAAAACCCCTATGGGTTTTGAATAGGGGAAGGGAAATTTGCATTTTTTTTTTCTTTGAAAATTGTAGTGTAGGACAGGTTTGAAGAGGGAAGTATTCCTTTTAGGCATGAATTTGGTGATAATTCCAAGAGCAAGGGGACAAAACAAAGTAACATGTGGGGGTGTCTTTAAAAATTTTAAAAAAGAAAACATCACTTTATTCTCAAGGGAGTGGCTTTAAGAGAAGGGCATAAGGGGGGCTTTGAAGGCCATGTGGTGGGCAGCTCACCCTCACCCTCACCCTCACCCTCTTACAAGGCCAAGATATAGGGTGAAGAACAAATGGATTTTGTAGTAAACCAAGGGATTTTCTCGCTTCCCCTAACATTCCATCATTATTCCCTCACCACTTCTTTCTCTCCACTTTTTTTTTTTTTTTTAATTATTTTTTTATTATTATTGTTCATGGAATTAGGGTTTAAGATGGATTATAATATGGTTGCTGCCCCAACTTCTCATTGTTCAGCTTTACCGATCAAGAGAGAGGCTTCAATGCTTCAATTCACATGCATTTGTGGTGAATTTAAGCCGTTACAATAAGAATTCAAGGTCACGTTTTTATAATAATTTCGAAAAAAGAGGAAAGAGGGGACCTCTCCATCAACTCAAGAACAAGAACGCATTCACATACATTGGGTTCAGACAAAGATCTCCATACCCATTTTGGTTGGGTGCTTATTTGGACATCCACTTTCATATTACACTTCCCTTTGTCCACAATACAATTTAATTGTGAAATTATTTTATGAAAAAAAGCCCTTGAAATCTTGAAAATAATTCAAAAAAATCTCCCTCTAATTAATTATATTGGTATTTGGGTGTCAATCATAACCCCTTTTCAATGATGTGCCTCACACCCACTTCTTAATGACACCCAAAATGTTCTTCTTATTCAATCCTTTTGTCTCCTCTCATTTTTATTCTTTTTGACAATAACATTATGCTATGAGTAGGGGAAGAGGGAGAAGAATTTCAAATTCTCCTTAAAATATTCAACTTCATACTAACTCGTTAGTTAATAAAGAGAAATCTCTCACACCTCTCTCTTCCTTCTGGATCGATCTTTGCAGATTAGATGAACAAGTTTTATATTAATATTAATTAGTGGAGGGAGTTCCCATGAGATGGTCAAACTTGGGGAATTGGAAAATTCCAAAGAAGTAGTGCCCATTGATGGCCTTTATTTTAAACAATTACTATTTTTCTAACACTTTTACCTATTTTACTAATTTTTCTTTTTTGTTTTTATTTAAAAAAAAAAAAAGGAAAACTCTTTTAACTGTTAATTATATAATAGAAAAATAAAAATTCAGAAAAAAGAAAAAAATTGAAACTCAAAATCATGTGTAGATCTAAATCTTATAAAGAATATGAATTGGGCATTATTGTACCTAAAAATATAAACTATTATATTAATTATTTAAATATATATATAAGTGTGAGGAAGATTAGGTGTTAGATTATAAAATATGAATATGTCATCATTATATGGATCTTACAATTATCTGCTTACGTTAAATTAAAATTCTTTGCCTTTGTAACCTTGTTGTCGTCCATTCAGTGTGTAATTAATTATTATTATTTTTCTTTACCTTTTGTTTAATCAATTTATTTAATATTTTTCCTACCTAATTTTGGTGCTCATCCCCTTCCCATCAAACCCCAGAAACTTATTTTTTATTGTATAACAGCGATCACCAAAGATAAAAGTTATAATAATAATTTCAATTTTTAAAAATAAAAAAAAAACCATAATGTTCTTAATCAGAAGTGATACTCATCAAGTTGTTTGGAGTTATTTGATTGAATCTTGTATTTTATAATTATTTCTTAAATTATCATCATAAGTTTGATTTTAATCTTAAACATGCTTTATTATAATTTATCTTAATAACATTTTTTTTATCGCGGGATAGCTTTTACCTAAAAATGTTAAATTTATGATATACGGTCAATTTTTGTTTAATATTTTTTATATTTGATTGAATCAAATTAAAAAATTTAAAACCACTAAAACTAAATTAAAATTAAATTTAAAATTATTGGACCAAATTGAAATGAGATTGATTTTAATGGTCCTTTTAAGATCTCCTTTCAAAAGTGTGCAGTTAACATAATAATAGCAATTATCTATGGATTAGTTCATCATTCTTAATAATTTATCATAATTTATCTACAATAAATGACGCCTAAAGTCTAATGATGATTAAAAAAATATATAAAATGCGATGAAATTTTATTCCAAAATATAAATTTGTATTTAATAATTATTTAAAAATATAAATAAATTTCGATATAGAATTTGTCTTTTTGAGTTTTAATTATAAAAGTAAATAATAATGGTAAAAATATAGGGTCAACTACGAATAATAATTATAAGTAAGCTTCAATTACTCACTCAAAAAGCCACTAATCATGCCCACTTTAGCCCTAAATTTATGGAACTAAAAGAAGCCCTAATTTTATGGGACCGTGCTTTGTGAATTAAGCCGGTCGGCTGGGATTGGTGTACGGCGGACGCGCAACCGCCAATGTTTCCATCATTATTTCTGCCTTAAAATAATTGCAATTTGGTGCATTTCATTTCACCGACACTTTCCCGACAACTGGTTCTGTCGGGAAGGGAAGGGCCTTCTTATGGGCCTTGTTGGGCTATCGGCTGTATGCTGAATTCGGACTCAATGGGCCTGGTGGAATCCATTTCACGAGTTTCACATTAAGCGCAAATACAATGGGCCCACTAGCTGGGCCTCTATTGCCGAGCCGAAGCCCAAATGGAGGCTTACTACTGCTAGTACACAGCATAAGATATATATATATTTTGTTAGAGATATATTCTTGCTATTGTCTTTTTATAAATATTAAATAATAATTATTAAATTTAATGTTGTCAAAGTTGCGGATATTCACAGGGACAAAAATGGAAACATGCCTCCATATTTTTATGTTTTATAAAATACAACGTACAATAATATCTTCTTGTTTTGTGTCCTTTTATATTTATTATTTATTATTATTTTGTTGGTGAAAATAGATAGTTTGTTGCTTTGTAATTAATACGTGGACAAGGATAATCTATAGCTTTTATTCAGAAAATATTACAAATTAATAAGATTGTGGTGGCAAATTACTATTTTATATTTATACTAAACATAATTATTGATAATTATAATTTATCATAAACTCATTAAACACAAAATTAAAATTTACATTTAATAGAGATTAATATTTTCAAAAGAAATTACAATTTATCATAGACTTATTTAACATTTCTAACATATTAAGAAACTAAATAGGTATTTAAAGCATGATTTTGTGACAATTTCATGGCTTAATTAGGAAAACATTATACAAAAAGATATGCATTTAGTTGAGGTGAGCTGTGTAGTTTTCCTTTTAGACGTGTCAAGTCAACATGATTGAACGGCTGACTTAAAGTGGAAAAAAAATAAAATAATAATTATTACTGAACGAGAAAATAAATCTGATGGAAATTAAAAACTTTTGATGCTTAATAAAATGTTACAAAAAGCCAATTTGAAGCGGTGTGTTATTTTTCCAATTTAAGAAAACTATAGGAAATGTTTCTTGTTTGAAACAAAATACAAATTCAAAACCAACCCTCAATTATTGTTCTTTCTTTTAGATTAGGGTGAGTGTGTGGAGCCTATGACATCGTCATTGAGTTTTTCTTTCCTAGTGAGTCGGCATGAACGAAGCAATTCTTACAATAATGCATAAACTTTTCCTTGGTGGACGCGTTTTAAAGTTGTAAGGCTGACAACTGTTAGATGAGCACGACTCTCCACAGTGATATGATATTCTCCACTTTGAACATAAACTCTCATGACTTTACTTTAGGCTTCTCTAATACGCATCGTACAAATAGAGAGATTATTCATTGATTATAAACTCATTAGCTGACTAGACATTCATTCAACAACAACGATACATTATTGGTTAAAGCAGATAATACTAGTTAGCGGTAAACTTAAACAATTGGTTTCATAAACACAAATATTTTGATCTTTTATGTGCAAAGAAGAATAGCAATTTGAGATTAAAGTGGAATTAACAAATAAGTACACTGAAATGAACTTGAAATGAATTGGACCCACATAGCACAAAGCTCTAACGTATTGCACAGTGAGCTATCCCTCTAGCCGGTACAATTGGGACCAATTTAGCTCTCTTTTTCTCATTATTGTTGTTTTAGGGTTCCAATGACATCTTTTTATTATTTATTTATATTAATCTTATTTTAATTAAAACTTTTAAATTTAACCTCAAATCAACCATAGACTTATTACTAAAAATACCAATATTAACATAGCTAAGCTGTTATAACCTTCCAACTATAAAGTAAAAAATGTCGATATCTTAAAATATTTGTTATAAAGAGTGAGGCTAAAAGTAAAAAAGGCAGAATTGAGGGTTTTATTTGTTTTTTAGTCCAATAGGGACACAATAAAGTTAATAATAGGTACAATTCATACTTTACACCGCAGAAACTGAACAGAAAGAAGCATTCTCTATAGAGACCCGCTTGAATTAAAGTTATAGATATAGATGGGATGCCCCAATTCATACACATCTACTTAGAAAGTTCGAGGCTTATTAGACACTTTTCAAAGTGGAACGATGGACAAAACCCAAAAGATCTAACCCCTCTAAACAGGAGCAGACAATTTTTCCAAAGAGAGAAGACTAATATATATTTAAAGTAATTGTTTACTACAACTTGGGTTCTGAAGGTATGTGGAAGCAACATTATTGGAGCAAAAATGGTTGGTTTTTTTAGTGTTATGAAAGAAATAAAATGAAAAAAAGATCATTTTTTTCCCCAAACCCATTTGTTGTTTTTTTGTTTTAAGGCCAAAAAATGGAGTTTGTGGTCCTCAGACCTCAGCTCTAGTAGTGTACTATTACTACTCTTATTGTCCTTCTCTTCTTTTCTTTCCTCTGAAGCAACCAATTTCTTGATTCTTCTTCCTTTCCTTTTCTCTTCCTCTTCATTAGTCTGTTTTGGGTCTTCTGAAATGGCCACCGGAAAAGCCGACGGAAAAAGGAGGCTGAACTACTACGACATGGAGGAAGAAGAGGAGGAGGAAGAGGAGGTGGAGGTTGTTGATGGAGAATTAGGGTTTGGTGGGGATTTCAATAAGAAGAAGAAGACTCTGAGTTCTGGTGGTGGTTCTAATAAAAAATCAGGATCTGGGTACGGTGGAGCGGCTACGGCGGCGCCGTCGTGCCAGGCGGATAATTGCAATGCCGATCTGTCTAGTTCGAAGCGCTACCACTGCCGCCATAAGGTCTGTGAGTTTCATGCCAAGGCTCTGGCGGTTATGGTGGCCGGAATCCACCAACGGTTCTGCCAACAATGCAGCAGGTATTTTGGGACAAAAACCCTAATCTTAGATCTGTTTTTTAATTATGTGGTTTAACCTATTTTAAAGGTAACGTAAAGATTAGGTAATAATTCAGCATATAGTTAGTGAGAAAATTAGTATATGTTTTAACTGTTCTTCAATTAATTAACTCCAAAATTTAACTGTTTTTCAGTGTAATTTTCTTTCATCTCTTTGGAGTTTGGTTGATCCAAAAATAAATTACTGTTTATTCATCCCAAGACCATCAACTATGAAATAAATGGAGAAAATTGTAATTATAATAATGTAAAATGGCTTTTTATTTGATTTTTTTTTTTTTATTTTTCTACTTACTCAAGTTTTTGAAAATAAATAAATAAATCAGTCTTGACCCCCTAAATTTGGCAAGGTTTTTCAAAAAAAATTTTGTATAAGCTTTTAATTTTATTTTAAAATGGAACCCTAAATTTAATTAAATGTTGAAATTTTTATTTATTTATTTTTTCACTCATATAAGCACAAAATTGTACAGTTCAATAAAATTTTCAAAATTTACAGTTTTAGCTAAATTTAGCTCTAATGTTTGTAATTTTTTGTATAACAATTCTTCAAAAGTGAATAGAAGGTAAATTTTGGTATTCTTATTTAAATTTAAGATAAAGATAGTAACATTTATTCGAGATGATTAATGTAAATAGATAGTTTTCACAAAATTTTATTATAATCTTTACTATGGTAGAGAAATATATTTTATGAGGAACAAAATTTTAATATATAGTTTTAAATTTGATAATTTCAGGATACAATATCGAGAGAAAAGTTTTGAATTCTAACTTTAAATATAAAATTTTAACCTAAAACAAACTTTGATATATTAATTATGAGACTAAAATAAAAAATAACAACAACAACAATAATAATAATAATAATAATAATAATATAGTTTGCATTATTAAAATTGCTTAATTTCTTGGTTTTTGATATGGTAGTGTTTTAAATCCATTTTAGTCTATATATCTCGAGAATAAGACATGTCCTGAAGATAGATGTCTTAATTGTTGATCGATATGTTCTTTTAGGGTTTAAATAGTTTTTTTAGTGTTACATATTCATGCATATTTATGAACGAAACACCATGAAGCTGATTGTTTATATGTAGTAGTCGTGATCATTATTGAGAAACTAAATATCCATCATTTGGGTTCCTGGAGATTTCATGGTCTTCAAGAGTTCGATGAAACAAAAAGGAGTTGCCGGAAGCGGTTGGCCGGACACAACCAGCGGCGGCGGAAGAGCTCATCGGATGTCCATGGCGGAACCTCAACCTAGCAATATGCAGAATGATGAAAGAAGGGGCATTTTGTTTTTAATTTTGTTGGTCAGTGCTTCCATTGTTACCAGATTTGCTTGCTCTCTCTCTTCTGTCAATCCATCCAGCCTTTTGCTTTTGCTCTGTTCTACAGACCAATTAGTTCATCTTTTGTATTAATCCCTTTGCAATGTGAAGTAAGATTATGTATGGAGCATATCAGCTTTTGATTTACTTTCAATCTAATTCAACGAAACAATAAGGAACGAATGTCTACATTCAATAGCAGGAACATCAAAACATACTCTAAAGAAACAACATGAAATTTGAAGAGGCGAGGAAACAGTTGAGTTAATCTCGGGCGATACCGAGAACTTTCATTGCTAGCTCCCAGCAGACGATTGCTGCTGCATTGGCAGGAAATGCGCGAAGTATGGTTGGACCTAATCCTGTATAGCATCCTCTAATTCCAGCGTTTTGGTATATCTAGAACAATGATGATTTGTTTCAGCATGTTGTGTAATTTTGAGCCAGAGATGAGAACTTGAATGAAGCAATGTCGAGAACGTCTTACCGAGCGCAGGACTAGAAATGGATTTCTAGTGGCGTTTTTATCTGGAGAAGTCTGGATTATGGTTTTGGCAACATCCAGGGGCAAAACAGCTAGCCAGAACTGGTTGAATTTGGAAACATTAGTCAACTTCACAACAATCAGATTAATAAGTCTTTCTAAAGAATAACAAGGAATTTACTCAGAAGCTTACAGCCACACCACCAAGGCCACCAGTCAAAATTCCAATTCCCATGTCCATTAAGTTGCCATGGACATTCGAAGGAGTACGCAAGTAATACCGAACGTTCTCGTAAACGCTGAAAAATACAGCATTTCCTATTGATTCCCTTAAAAATGTTGTAAACCCTCCGCGGAAAATACCAGTAGCCTGTAAAACAGAGTGTCATTTGAAAACCAGATCACAAATGGGAGATACCCAACAAGTCAAGGATTGTCTTACCCCTTCTGTTTTTATAGTTTTAAGGGCACAATCGAGTGGACCGCTATATCTACTGGACACTGGAACAAGAGAATCAGTGCCTTGAACTTGCATCCTACACTGAAAAATCTTAAGAGTCATGAGCCTGACATGTGAACAAACCAAAGAAAGCAAGAAACTCGTACATCATGATGTACCTACCTTCACTAACTCAGAAGGACATAGTATAAAGCTGATAATAGCTCCACCATAAGCTGCAGAAGGAATTACTACTTGTGGCCGTGGCCTACCATTTTGGTGGTCTCCCTTCACAATCAGAGAAAGAGAGACCAGTAAGGACATATCACGATAATGCACACAGTGCTCATGGGCCAAAAAATTGTAAGACTACCGAGCATAAAGTAAAGAGGTTTTTGCAATATTTATGTAACAGCCCAAGCCCACAGCTAGTAATTATTGTCCGTTTTTGGCCCGTTACGTATCGCTGTCAACCTCACGATTTTAAAACGTGTCTGTCAGGGAGAGGTTTCCACACCCTTATAAGCAATGCTTTGTTTCCTCTCCAACCGATGTGAGATCTCACAATCCACCCCCTTTGGGAGCCCAGCATCCTCGCTGGCACACCGCCTGGTGTTTGACTCTGATATCATTTGTAACAGCCCAAACCCACCGATAGCAGATATTGTCCGCTTTGGCCCGTTATGTATCACCATCAGCCTCACGGTTTTGAAACGCATTTGTTAGGGAGAGGTTTCCACACCCTTATAAGAAATGCTTCGTTCCCCTCTCCAATCGATGTGGGATCTCATAATTGAGGAAGCCAGCAAATGGACCAAAAATCCTTAAGCAAGATGAAAGAGTCAATTTCTTTAGTACAGACCTGCAATGACTGTTTAGTCCGGGAATAAATTCCAAAAAGAAGGGAACTCTCAAACGATACTCCAATGAAAGATGATGTTGCCCCTCGGTAAAGTCCTCTCACCTGTCAAAATCGTTTATTTCTCAATTCTACAAAATATGATCATCAAGCATAGGACAGAATGTGAAAAAGGTTGCAAATCAGAGATTTTCAGTAGAGCATTGACGCTGAGACATAACGATTTATGCAGAAAAAGGGTAGTAAGAGCAATATTGAGCAACTTGCACACTTAAAGCAATGCTTCCCACAAATGAGGAATCAAACAACATTACAACAAGCAGCAAATAAGACACCACTTTTCCAACATAACCAGGTATACGTCATTGAATGATGAAGACTATAAACATTCAATTCAAATCTGCATCCAATTAACCTATCTAATATGACATATTCAACTGCTTCATATATTTGTTTCGGAAGAGTTCAGAAACCTTACACCATCAGTCTTCAGTATCCTAGTAGTGCAATGCAGACCACCTCGATAAGTAATCCCCCGCGACTCGGTATTATGTTTTTGAAGCTTTACCTGTCAAGTAAACAGATATGCATATGAGAAATAATTCCACCAGCCACTAACTATTTACTCGCAGAACTAGCTTAAATTGCAGGAAGCCGTTTGGTAACAGTATAGCAACCCCATTTGCACAAACAATCAACTAGTTTGAATGTGCTAGTCCAGACAAGGCAGCATGGTTACATGGTAATTGTTGCTCCAGAAAACAGTAATGGAAAAGGCAACTTGACGCAAACAATCAGAATGATTAGTAGGCGTTCTTAATTTTAGTAATGTACAAGAAGAATCGTTGATCTGCATCTACTCCACATTTCAGATAAGTTCAACCCTAAACGCCACAGGTGAAAACAAAGAAGAAAAATCATTAAATGAGACATAGCATCAGGTCAAATTCCAAAATGTAAATTCGATTGCCTTTGCTATCCATTTCATTTACACCTATCTATGTCAAACCCCCCAAAAACAAATACCAAGCCAAAGAAGAAGAATTCCAGTTCAATCCATAGGGAAGGTCGAAGGAATTGCAGTTCGAGCAGACAATCCAGCTTACCTTAACGGTGTCAAAAGGATGGCCGGTAATGACAGTGGCAACGCCGGCAATCAAACCGGCAACGTAATCTTTGTAACTGGAACTGTCCCCCATTGGTGTGTTTGTGTAAAGGGTATCAATGGAAATCAGGGAGAATCATCGAGTCTCCATTGGAACCCACAACTGAGCTGAACTGAACCTGGATAATATGTGGCTCCGACCTCTGAGAGCAACGAATGGTGTGTCATTTGGGGAAAGGTGATTGATGATCACTTTACAGCCGCAACCGCAGCCGCTGCAGCTTTGCCTGCATCCATTACCCTTTTCTTCTCTCTTTCCTGTTTTCTTTTCCTTTTTATAAATAAATTGGTCCCTTGCAAATGTGTTTTTGGTATTTATTTTTAATTTAATCAATATTCTTTTTGTTTTTGAAGTTCATTAATAGCATTTAATAATCCTTTTTAAATATAAGGTAATTTTACGTTAGGGAACTGGAATAGTAACAACTTTTCATGCATTCAACAGTCATTAGCTGCTATTTTATTTTTTTTTACAAAGTCAAATACAACTATTAAATATTTTCTTATGACAAAAATGAATGGTAGTTGGAAAAAAAAAAAAAAAATTATGTCGAACCGTTTTTTTTTAATTATTAAAAAATATGTTACATTAATAACTAAAATTTCATAAAAACTTATATATCAAACTTTCACGAGTTAGATGGTTGTAAAGGTTAATTATTATGAACGTTCATAATGATTTTAAAGTATGTGTTGGATTGAGATGTAGTACTATTTTCAAGTTGGTCGGGTTAAAATGTCATAGACCAAAATTTACAATTTTATAAAAGTTCAACTAACCTAAACTAAAAAAAATTAACCCAACTCAACTTTTGTGGTTTATGTTGGATAGTTACGGCTAATCACGTTCTTGAGTCATATGAACACTCTTTAACTATTTTTACAATAGAAAAAATTTAAGTAGCTGTCAATTATTGTCAAATTATGTTTATTTTAATATGTTTAATAAATCTTAAACTTTTAGTTTTGTGTCTGATAAGTTTATTTCTTGACAATTTAAAACAGAATTAACTTAATAAATAAATCTTTGAGTCCACTAAAATTTTATAAAATATTGAAATGCATAATTTATACACAAAATTAAAAAATAATAAACTAATTGACGCTAGTTTAAGATTTTTTTAAACATTAGTTTGGAGAAAACAAAATTAAAAATTTAGAAATTTATTAGTTATTTCCAAATACCAAATAAATATAAATTTTAAAAATTTTAAACTTAGATTTATAATTTAACCTAAATTAATTTGAAATAGAATTTGGGTAAGAAATTCTCGTTATCCGATAAATATTTCATTTACTTTAGATTAAATGATAAGTTTCACTATTTTGCAGGTTGCAGCCGTCATTTTTTGTATTCATTTTAACAGAAAAAAAAAATAATAAATAAAAAATGATTGATAGGATACTTTCAAACAAATTTAAATTTTGAAAATAAAAAATAAAAGTTTTGAAATTAAAGAGAATTATTCAAACATAACATAAAAAGTAAGTGATGAATTATATAATTTATCATATGCTTTTTGAAGTTGAGAATTATGCCAGATAAAATCCATGTGGAGAAATCAATACATAACTAACTATTAGATTTAATTGGGTGATTCATAAGTTTATTTTTTATATTTTTAATGTGATTGGAAAGATGTAAAAAGAACTGTCTTTACCATCAATAGTTGAGCAACTAATTAGTTGAGTTGGTTCGATGTATTTATAAGATATATATATATATATATATGTGGTGTTGTGTCCAACACCTCCTTTTAATACTAAGCTAGTATTGGATCAAAGTAACGTAGATTAACTGGGTGTCTTTAATGAAAGATATGTCTATTTAGTTAAGTGTTTTAATCATTCGGTACAAGTGTCAATGACACACTTAATCGGCTGAAATCATAAAAAAGGACTCTAGCTTGTGCTCAACTCAAGGATTTCTCTTATTTATTGGGTAGTCGTTAAAGTTATAACTACCATTTTGAGGAGCTTAACGGGTATTTTTACTCTTTTGAATTACTTATAAAATTTTAGAGATTTAATTGAATTATTAGTTAGGCTATTATATGGGTGTAAAATAATTATTTTTTTAAAAAGGAAATTTTATCGTCACGGTTAAAAAGAATTACTGGACAATTTTCTGAATAAAAATACAAAAAATAATAAGTTTATATAAATTTCAGTCGGGTCGGTGAATCGGGTATGGAGTACCCAACAATATTGGTCTGTCCAGAGCACGAATATATTTGCAGAATGAAGAAAAAAGGGGGAAAATAGCTTAACAAAAAGCAAAATAATAATATAAAACAATGTTCATTTTAACGAAGCCAGTTCGTAGACCAATCAATTTGCCCAAGCCCAGAGTCTCGCTCTGGTGAAGCTCGGGCACAGTCCGTCGCCCACCTCCATCGCGGTCGCCGGTTTCATCTCCGTCTGTGATCCAACACAACTACACCACCCTCTGCTACCTCAATTAGCCTTTACTCTGTAACCTTCTTTTTCCGTTTTTCCTTCACGGCTCAAAATTCTGCTTCGAAGGAAAGCAATGCCAGCAAAGAAGCGTGCTCCGGAGTCATCTGAGGATGATTCTCTCAAACTCGACCATGGTTTCTCTGCTGCTCGCCCTGAAGATGGAGATGCAGACGGTAAGTTTTGTTTGGACTTCATTTATATGTATTTTGAACGAAGCAGGAAAGAGTTCTTCTGATTTTTCCTGCATTAGTTGCCTTCGTTCGAATTTTACGAGTTTGTAATTTTCTCCTCCTTTCTCTGCTTCTTCTTTAGAATCCGATCGGAGCACATCGTCGTCCAGTAATGGAGAGAAGGACGAGTACGTCCTCTACTTCACTACTTTCGCGCGTTCTCATCTTTGTTTTCCTTCGTCTGTTTTATTTTCAATTGATTATTACGTTGTCCTACACTGTATAATTGTTTAATGCTTTAGTGATTGGATTTGATTTTGGGATCTATTTGTTTTGCTTCGTGAATATGTCTGTTTACTTGAATCCGCTGCCATATTTTGGAACGAGCCATGCCGATTTACAGCGCTACCATGGCTTCCCAATAGTTTCTGCCATGGGTATCCTTTTCTGCTCACAAGAACGCGCTTGGCCGTATTCTGAGGAAGGTTGGTGGAGTTGGGTTCGCCAATTTTCTGGGCACCGCCACAGCTGTGGCGGATTCTCCAAACAAATATATGTATTGCTTAATGTACGGAACGTTGTTGTCCAGGGCATTTGGTGGTGGTTAAGGGAGGTTTTGTTCATTTTTTGCTTCTATGTTGGCAATAAATGTTTATCATGCAACAAACAAAGATCGAATGGTGTTTCTCGTGTTTGATCCATTTCGGCCATAACTACTGTTCTCTATTCTTCATGGGTGCAGATTTATCGTTGTAAAACTTTCGGATATTCGCAAAGAAGTTCAATGTCCAATCTGCTTGGGTATGATTGATGTCGACTCTTTGTTTTATATTTATTATTCTTGATTATTCAGATTCTATCGCTTATCAAATATTACATTTATATTTTATTTTCCAGTTAGAGTTACTTAACTGGTTAATTTACCGAAACGTTAGTGTGGATATCAGTTTCTGTGTATTACATTCATGTTGCGATCAATATCCTAAAGTAGTATCTTCTAACTGTTGTGTTGATGGACGAAAGTGGACAATTTCTTAGATTGCTTGAGGTGTTTCATGTGTTCTTGTTTATCTTTGTAATTTGAATTGGAATGGGGCATTTGGTTTGATGGTAGAACTGCTTTCCTTCTGCCGTTCCAATGTGATGAGCTTAATTAAACTTGTACTTGATAGTTGATACTTTCGTTTCTGAACAGTGTTTTCTAAAGGCGAAATGTGTCTGCATATTGATGCAATTCGAATGTGAAAGCTGTTTTGTAGAAAGAGTTCGACAAAATAATATTTCACTTTAGTTTATACCTGATTCTGTAAGAAATGATGCATTTTATTCATTCAAGCAGTAATTGCATGCAAAACATGAAAAACACAGGCAATCCAAACAAAAATATGATTACTTTCCCCCTTATTAGCCTGCCATTCATGCAAGAATTGCTGCATAAAAAGATATGTATTGTTTGTTTCTTGGGTATAAATAATGTGAAACCGGAAATTCTTTGGGTGGCAGGGATTATTCGGAAAACAAGAACAGTGATGGAGTGCCTGCATCGCTTCTGCAGAGAATGCATTGACAAATCTATGCGTTTGGGGTATGCATTTACCTGATCTCTTACTTAAAAAAACAAAAAGAAGGTGGTTTTGTGTTTGACTTGTGAAACGGTTCTTTTTTCATTTCTTAACCTCATAATTGATATATTTTGCAGCAACAACGAATGTCCCGCCTGCCGCACACATTGCGCTAGTCGCCGCTCACTGAGAGATGATCCAAATTATGATTCTTTAATTGCTGCTTTATATCCAGATATTGAGAAGTATGAAGAAGATGTATGATTTGTGAGATTCATCAGTACTTTTCCATTTGGGGTATGCATTTATGTCCGTCAGCTGAAGTTATTTTGTATATTTCACTCCTGTAGGAGCTGGCTTTTCGAGAAGAAGAGAGAATCCGCAATAAGCAGGTGAAACGAAATGTTTCCAAGTGTTTTTCTTTCCTGAATTGGGTGCATGAGGGCAGAGGAATTTGTCACAAAGCAATGGAAGTTTAAGGGAACATATTAAGTAACCATGAAGAGCAAAAGGAATCGGTTAATTTAGGAAAAATTAGCTCACTTTTTCATATTTTCTTTTCAAACATTGTGTATTAATTCACAAATTTTATGAGGTATCCAAAACTCTGGCCCGTTAGTTACTCTCATCCAAATAGTTCATTGCTTCACGTGTGAGCTACAGTTGTTATGAATGTCCTGAGTATAACTATACGGAACTCTCTTCTAATGCCTCAAGGTACTAATATTCAATTTATTCGGACAGATTCAAGCTTCCATAGCTCAGACCTTGCGTCGACAATCTGAGGCAGTAAGCAAGAAACGCCCTCCATCTGTTAGAAGATTGCGGGGAAATAACTACAGGAACAGCCAATCAAAGGGGAAAAGGAGCTACAGAAATGATGCTGAATTTCCAGCATCTGATGACAATGAGGATCCAACTGCTGAAGATGGAGTCAAAGATTCTTCTTCTGATGAACAGATGGAGCGGTCTGAGCGGAGATCAAAAGGATTCAGGAAACAAGGAGCTGCCAAGTTCTCCCAGCCTCCTTTTGCTGCTTATTCAGATGGAGCTGGTGAAGACAATGACTCGGATC